TGTACCCCCCGACTCTGTACACCCCGACCCTGTACCTCCTATAGCCCCCGACCCTGTACACCCCGACTCTGTACACCCCGACCCTGTACCTCCTATACACCCCGACCCTGTACACCCTTACCATGTATTCCCTAAATCCCCCGACCCTCCACACCCCGACCCTGTACTCCCTATAGCCCCCGACCCTATACACCCAGACTCTGTACACCCCGACCCTGTACTCCCTATAGCCCCCGACCCTATACACCCAGACTCTGTACACCCCGACCCTGTACTCCCTATAGCCCCCGGCCCTGTACCCCCTTATACCCCCCTCCTGCGAAGGCAAAGCCAGTGTCTCTAGGCAAACAGCTCCTCTGCACTTTTATTGGTTATTACCTCTGAAGGTCACAGATCAGTGAAGGGAGGGGAGAGGGAGAGAGGTAGAGAGAGAGAGAAGCAGGCTGGGTTCCAGGGTGAGATGCAGGCTGGGTTCCAGGGAGAGAGAGAGAGGCAGGCTGGTTTCCAGGAAAAAGAAAAAAAGCTGTCCCGGTCCTTATGTAACCATCGCCCCAGAGCTGGCAGCAGCCCAGGAATCGTGCAACTTGCAGGCAGGGAAAACTAGGACACAGCCGCACACGCACACACACACACACGCACCTTCCTAGTCCTAGATACACCATCACAGTGCCCCCTACTGACACCCTGGTGAAAGCCCAGCCTGCACATAGAATGAGGAAGACACTGAAAAGGTAGCGAATGGAGAGAAAGGAAAACTTAATAGGGAATTTGAGAAAAGAAGAGAAGATAAATAAATGGCACACATGAGAAGCCAACATTACTGGTCCAAAATGCATGTTATAGGTCAAACAGAAAGTTTCAGAAGTTCTATCAAACTCTCACTCTCCTCTTATGGCGGCAGGTAGCCTAGCGGTTAGAGTGTTGGGCCAGTAACCGAAAGGTTACTGGTTCGAATACTCGAGCTGTCAAGATGAGAAATCTTTTGATTTCTGTCTTTGATCAAGGCACTTAACACTAATTTGCTCCAGGGGTGCTGTACTACTATGGCGGATCCTGTAAAATAACACATTTCACTGCACAGTTTTTCCTGACTTTGTAGAATTGAAGGAAATGTGTTATAATTGCCCCATGGCAAAATGTGTAGAATTGCACGAATTGCATGTGGGTACGCAGACTCGTGAGCAACTGAGGCCCCTCACGATGAGTTCAGATTTTCTGTAGCCCCCACCGCCATCAAAGTTTCCTTCGAGAGACTGACTGGGTATGGCCACACACACTGGCCGCCTGCCATTCCAGCATGGGACTCTGGAACAGCACAACACTATTGGGTAATGCACACACACACTTAGCTTCACTTCCTGATTGGGAGGGTGAGGAGAGTGAGTGGGTGAGAAAGAAAGGGTGACAGAGAAAGCAACCCAGAACTACCACTACAAGCCCAGGCGTACTACCTACAGATACATATAATCACCACCACATACAGCCACAAATATAATCACAGACCTACATTTAAGAGGAAAAGGCACATTGACAGAACAAGTGAAAGAGGGAGAGAGAAGTAGAAGAAAAAGAGGGACAACCTCCGGCATATCCATCTCATCATTAAAGGATCTGAGCTGAAAGAGAAGAGAGGAGAGGAGGGTTAGATGGGTTAGCATAGGGAGGATACAGGCTGCTGCTGGGAACACCACAACATAAGGGAACATATACCAAGTTTATTCAGACGGTAGATAAAGACTGTATTCAAAGCACTCATGTCGTGTGTATCTTAGCAAAATATCTTCATTAGTAAAATATGGAACGTCGTTTGGGTTTTTGCGTATCAAAAAATATATATCAAATAACACTATTTGACATGTCAAATAAGCTTGTGAACCAATCAGGACCTGGATAGGACTGCAATTCACATCATAATTTAACTTTCAGTACTTTTTTACGTAGTTATTACTAATTGATTACACTAATCACTCCTATTTCATATGTCACAGCATTTCACCAATATGTATACTATGATGCTGGTAAAGTTTTGTCTCGCGCACCTGCCGCTGCTGCACGAGTGCAGACACAGTTCCCCTGCTCTGGGACAGTGCTGGTCAGAAAAACAGCTAGCTAACAGCTGATGGATGCAAACAATGTTCTTCCCCAAAAACATAGCAAAACAACAATCAGTTTCAGTAGCTATAGTTGGCTAGCTAACTATCTAGTTAGGTGTCATCTAAAATAACCCTAATTTATAAGACTGTTCGTATTTGATTAATTCCTTAAAGTCTAAGACGTTGGGGGGTGCTAACCTGACATATGGAATTGTTTTAAGATGGTCATACTATGGATCATTTAGCTATTTGATTTTTAGGACCCCTTTATGTATATACAAATATATATATAAAGAAATGATTTGATAAAATATTGATTTTCATTAAAATGCAAATCAATTTATAACATTTTTGACATGCGTTTTTCTGGATTTTTTTGTTGTTATTCTGTCTTTCACTGTTCAAATAAACCTACCATTAAAAGTATAGACTGATAATTTCTTTGTCAGTGGGCAAACTGCTGTATATTGATTCATCGGTGCGTCAATCGACTCTAGGGGGATTGAAAGGGATATACAAATCATGCCATATTTGGAATAGATCATGCTAAACAAGTTTGGAATGTTATATCAATTCAACAAAATACAATTTTTTAAACTGACAAATATCTGTTGAAATCACACTGTGGATATATTAGACTTTAGAATTGCATTGGGGGCATACTTATTTCACGCCACAACCTTACCTATGGATTGTGGATCAATTACATGGGGTATCAGTCTACTAAGTGACACCCACAGAACACAACTGTGAAAAGTTTACACAAATATTAGAGTCGTGGCTTTTATTTCGGGACTCTGAAACCACTGTGAAATGAGCCACATTTATTGTCCCAGTCAATCTACTATGTGTATTGAACACTATTCCAGAGGAAAAACAATACAACGTGGATGTTTTGGAGTCTGATAACTCTGAGGACATTTGAAAAAATAGCACTTGGGTACTGAGTAGACTGATACCAAATTTCATTGATCCACAATCCTTAGGTAAGGCTGTACAGTGCAACATGAATGTCAATACACACAATATGCTGACTGGGGAGGTGATTTCCCACAGTAGGTCACGCAATTAGAGCTACAATGCAAATATTTCTGTAAACTCTTCATAGTTGCGTTATATGGGTGTCACTGAGTAGACGGTTACCCCATTTCATTGCTCCACATTCCAACACTCCAACCTTGTTTAGCATTACCTAGTCTAAATATGGCATGATTCCACTATTTGTATCCATTTGCATCCCTTTCAAAGAGGGACTTTTATTTTGTAGGCGAACCGCAAATTCCACTATTGTGGCTAATCCTTATCGTGGCTAGCTTCACAATGTATAACCCGGTCTGGTCAAGCCACATTAGCCAGATGCTTATAAAGTTTGGGGGAACAGGGTTAAGTAGCTGGCTAGCTGATTTAGTTCACTATCTAGCTAGCTAGTTATTTTCATGAACTGAAGTTTGATTTCAATAGGAACACAAGTGGCTGCCTAGCTAATATTTAGTCACATGGATTCCTAAATCATTGCTAAGTATTATTGAAAATAACTGCAGTTTCTGCTGGTCATTGTTTTCAGGCTGGTTGCATTGGTGCTAGCTAGGTATCAAACTAAAGCTAGCTAGCTACCCCAGAAGTTGCTAATAAAATCTGTATCTAACATTTTTGATCCCGCTCGTTTGATCCTGATCTTTTTTCAAATGCTCACACAGACGTTTTCCCAATCAGTCGAACTAATAATGCCTTATTACCAACGCGGTATTGTAAACACATTTTTTACAGCATCTTTGACAGTGCTACTGATCGTAGTGGTGGCACTTGGCTTGCACTTGCAAATGTAGCACTAACAACATTCTATAATAGACCTTTCTGTGTTTACAAACATTGCCGCACGAGGGCGATGCGCACAAGTTGGTGGCAGAACAAGTAGGAGTTCTTATAGAACGGCAGCAAAAAAAGCCTCTATTTACATTTTGCTTTTGAGTGCATTTCACACTACTTTTGGATCATAATTGGATTTTAAGGCTTTTATGAATGTTCTGCTTAATATAATGTTTGTGTCATCATCGCAAATCAACTGCATTATACTTAAAAAACACTAACTTCAACCAGTAAAATGTCTCTTTGGCTAACTTTTGCTACAGCCTACATCAATTAGTGTTAGCATTCTGGCTAACAACTGCTGCATCCAAAATAGTTATTTTGCAAAGATCACAACCAAATATAATCTTAGCGACTGTTTAAGCAAGAATCAAAACATAATGTTAAGCGTATGAGAAACCCAAAAAGTTATTTTGTTTAGAAGTAATAAAAACGTAAATCTAGGCTATGTTGAATGGCCGCAGATAGTGATGGCTTTCTTACTGCCGCCAAGAGGGGGCCAGTATGAAAAATGTATGCACTCACTAACTAAGTCGCACTGGATAAGAGCGTCTGCTAAATGACTAAAACGCGCTCATCTCTGCGTGACGTCAGTGTGTTGTATACTGGAAAAGGGTCTACAGAAAAGGGTCTACAGAATTGTGTTATTTGACGTGTCAAATTAAAAGCTTATTTGACGCGTCAAATAGTGTTATTTGACGTGTATATTTTTGGACACGCAAAGACCCAAATGCCGTTCCATAGTAAAGGGTGTTCGACAGATTGAAAAGTGTTGGTATAATAGAAGAGGGGAATTCCATCCATTCTGAGCCAATAGGAAGATGGACCATCGGGAGCTACAGTATATCTTCATGCTTGTCCTCACATATGGATGCTTTCATTGGGCCATGCAGGTTAGTTATTGGCCAGCCAAGTATTCATGAGGTCAGTCTAGATTAGCTTGGCCCAGCTCACTGTGTGTGTATATTCATTATATAGATCCATATCATTCCGTATCACATCAGAATAAAAATAATACACCCAGACACTGGTTGATGAGTCTTACAAGGTGAGCAATCCTAAAAAGAGAAGGTTAGACACTAGACTGAACTGGTCATCGATCCCACTGTGATGGAGAGAAAGAGATGTTCTTAGATGTCCGGGGCTGCAGTTGGATGTAAAGTGAATTGTGACGTGTTGTGACTTGTGTCCTACCTTCTCTCCGTATCCTCGGTCTTTGGTCATCATCTCTCGGAGGGTCTGCAGGACTTTGATACACAGCCTCTCCTCATTCTCCTCCAGCAGCTGCTTGGTGTGTTTGATCAGCCTGGGGAGAGACAGGGTCAAGGGTCACCGTGGGGTCACTAACCATGGGGGCATCATGGGGTTGAGGTCACAAGAGGATTGACTGGATGGGTGGGTTTGGGGGACACTATGTTGGAGTGGCGGTATTGTGCACACATTCACATTCATATGTCATTTAGCAGACGCTCCTAACCAGAGCAACTTAACAGTCAGTGCATTCAAATAAGTTTAGTAGGGAAAATGTTGACAGCTGTGCCATACAGGTTGCAAAATAGTTGGGAAGAGATTTTCCTTGTGCTGATTCCATGGCACATGGTTTATGAACTGAACCACAAAACAACGCTTGATTCATAACTTAGTTTTTTAATTAAAATTATTATACAAAATTCTTGCTACCAACAGAATGTTATGTATACTGAACAAAAATATAAACGCAACATGTAAAGTGTTGGTCCCATGTTTCATGAGCTGAAATAAAACATCCCAGAAAAGTTTCATACGCACAAAAAGCTTACTTCTCAAAAATGTCTCAAGTTTTGCGGGAGCGTGCAATTGGCATGCTGACTGCAGGAATGTTCACCAGAGCTGTTGCCAGAGAATGTAATGTTAATTTCTCTACCATAAGCCGCCTCCAATGTTGTTTTAGAGAATTTGGCAGTAATCCAACTGGCCTCACTAACTGCAGACCATGTGTAACCACACCAGGCCAGGACCTCCACATCCGACTTCTTTACCTGCTCTGTCTAGTGTCTAATTTTTCTAAGTCCGTCAGGAGAAAATATAAATTCATGCAGACACATGATAAATAACAGGTTCACTCTTCCCACGACCAATAATCTTATCCACAAATGTTCTCTTTTTGAAGGCCTTGGCCTCACACAACTGTGTCACCAAATATAGGTATTGACTGATCGTACGCAATGACTGAGGTACTGTATAAAAATGAACCCCAGACAGTGTTGTCAGAATGAGGGCTTCTGTAGTTCCACTGGTGTTGCTGCTGTGTGTGTCTGGGGCCTGGGCTGAGGGAGAGACCGACACAGACGACCACCACATCTGATTTCTGGACTGAGCTGAAACACCTTAGAGACATGGTGCACAACATGGGAGCCATTTTGGTCGAGCAAAGAGAGGAGCTGAGTGTCACAAAGACTGAACTATCCTTCTATAAGAGCCAGGTGGACGAGCTGGAGACATGGAATACAGGTAACATGATGATATGATAGTAATACTCTATGTGATATTATTATTAAACTAATACAGCTGTGAATAGATAGGCCTACCAATTGAATGTTGTTCTGGCCTTGGAAGCCAGACTGAAAACCAGTGAGAGCCAGGTGGTTGATCTGAATGTGGGGCAAAGCGTCACCAAGACTCAACTACAGTTCATCAAGTACCAGCTGGAGGAGATGAAGATGGGGAATGCAGGTAATGTGTGACAGCCATGTAAAACCTTGTTACTTCAATTACCATGCAGGCCAGACTGGGAACTAGTGAGTGTCAGTAGAGAAGTCGGTAAGAAAGTAGAAATGATAGTGATTAATCAATAATGACCAACTGGAATCAACGCACGCTCTCTTCTTCGATGCTGTATTCACAGACAGACCAAAGGTGGCGTGACACTACATTGATCTACCCCAAAGTCATCACAAATGTCGGTAAGGCTTACAACCAAGTTACAGGTACAATGTACTATGCATGTATTTCAACCATTGGATGACAAATACAAAATGAAACAATGTACACGTAACATACTGCATGTTTTGTCCTGATACAGGTCTCTTTACAGCACTAGTGAGATGAGTCTCCTACTTCAGATACACGTCTGTGGTCAAATGAATTCAAAAGGTTTGGGTGTAGGCTTGTTTAAGAATGGGCAGAGAGCTGTAAACACTGCTGAATGTTATACTGATGGAGAGAATCTAATGCAGCAGTTCTCCTGGAGTTAGAGTTGGGAGATGTGGTCTACATACAGCTTCCATCAATCTACCAGATCTATGATGATTCAAATGGTTGTAACACCTTCAGTGGCTTCCTGCTCTTCACCGTGTAAGTTATATTATCATGTTGAACAGAGCTGAAGGAAGTGGTTGGATGTTTTCCTCCCACCAATAAATACATTCATAAAGAATTGGCAATGTGCCAGTCTTTAATTTGGTTTTCAAAGTGGTTTTCAAAATTATTGAAATAAATAAAACCATATGTCCATATATCCCAGGCACTGTATACTTTGTTTAGGGTGGGGGTGGGATTGTTAAGTTTAAACACACGTACTTGCAGATGAATCCGCCACTCTCACACTTCCTGCGGGAGTCGGTGTTCTCAGGAAAGAGCAGCTCTGGCCGATGCAGCACATCCACTAGGACAGACAGCTCAGCCTGGACCAATGGACGCAGACGGTCCTCTAGAGCCGACACTATGTCCTACAGACGGGGGGGGCAAGAGAGAGAGAGAGACACGTAAACCATACAGTTGGGTGTGTTTAAAAGGACGGACGGACTCACAAACACATAGTGTACCCACCTGCAGTCTCTCAATGATGTTCCTGTAGTCTCGCGAGGCGGTCAGTACTGAGTCTCTGCGGGCAGCGTTGCGGGCAGACATTCTCCAGGACATGGCTGTCTTCTGGACGATGTTGTTGGACTTCACAAACAGGTTGTTCACCTGGCTGTCCAGATCCACTGGGATGGCGATGGCTCGCCCTTTAGCTGTCACACAAGAAAGCCCAATAACACATGAGTAGAGGACTGTCTTACATACAGTATGATACAACACTCATCTTTAGAGTACATCCCAATCATAATACCACTGCCTCATCAGGGGATTTGACTAACAAAAGGCCAACAAATTACTAACATCAAGTTGGATTTCTTTGACAATCTGCATAAATAAAGTGTTATATAGTACGTCAAATCTATACACACAGCAGGGTAGTTCATAGAACTACTTATTATTTTGAGTTGTCTTTGTTTGATTAGTTAGTTGATGATGTAATCAGAGCTACAGTAGTGTTGGGGTTAGTGTTAGGAATGTGTTGTCCTCCTTACCCACGTCAGACAGCACCTTGATACAGCTCTCCACTGAGCCCTTCTGAACTGGGACCAGCCAGTTACAGTGGTACACTCTGAACACTGCCTGTAACTGCTGAACAAACACTGGCTGCCTGGTCTGGGGACGGGGAGAGGGAGAATAATTGAGTTATAACACAGATCAACTATACTGAACAAAAATATAAATGCAACGTGTAAAATGTTGGTCCCATGTTTCAGGAGCTGAAATAAAACATCACAGACATTTTCGAGAAGCACAAAAAGCTTACTTTCAATTTCTTTGCACAAATGTGTTTACATCCCTATTAGTGAGCATTTCTCCTTTGCCAAGATAATCCATCCACCTGACAGGTGTGCACATGTGCACCTTGTGCTGGGGACAATAAAAGGCCACTCTAAAATGTGCAGTTTTGTCACACAAAGCAATGCCACAGATGTCAAGTTGAGGGAGCGTGCAACTGGCATGCTGACTGCAGGAATGTCCATCAGAGCTGTTTCCAGAGAACTGAATGTACATTTTTCTACCATAAGCCGCCTCCAACGTCGTTTTAGAGAATTTGGCAGTACGTCCAACCGGTCTCACAAACGCAGACCATGTGTAACCACGCCCAGGACCTCCACATCCGGCTTCTTCACCTGCAGGATCGTCTGAGACCAGCCACCCGGACAGCTGATGAACCAGTGGGTTTGCAAAACCAAAGAATATCTGCACAAACTGTCAGAAACAGTCTCAGGGAAGCTCATCTGCGTACACGTCATCTTCACCAGGGCGGCAGGTAGCTTAGTGGTTAAGAGCGTTGTGCCAGTAACCGAAAGGGCGCTGGTTCTAATCCCCAAGCCTACTAGGTGAAAAATCTGCCGATGTGCCCTTGAGCAAGGCACTTAACCCTAATTGCTCCTGTAAGTCGCTTTGGATAAGAGCGTCTGCTAAATGACTCAAATGTAAAATGTATCTCGCCTCCCTTACACAGTCTCTACACCAGGGATTATCAAGTAGATTGAGACGCGGGCTGATTTTTTCTTGAGCGGATAGTCAGGGGGCCGGAACATAATTACAAATAATTTGTGCCACATCGTGGCGGTAGGGTTATGGTATGGGCAGGCATAAGCTACGGACAACGAACACAATTGCATTTTATCGATGGCAATTTGAATGCACAGAGATACCGTGACAAGATCCTGAGGCACATTGTCGTGCCATTCTTTCGCCGCCATCACCTCATGTTTCAGCATGATAATGCACGGCCCCATATCGCAAGGATCTGTACACAATTCCTGGAAGCTGAAAATGTCCCAGTTCTTCCATGGCCTGCATACTCACCAGACATGTCACCCATTGAGCATGTTCGGGATGCTCTGGACCGACGTGTACGACAGGGTGTTCCAATTCTGGCCAATATCCAGCAACTTCGCAAAGCCATTGAAGAGGAGTGGGACAACATTCCACAGGCCACAATCAACAGCCTGATCAACTTTGTGAAAGGAGATGTATTGCGCTGCATGAGGCAAATGGTGGTCACACCAGATACTAACTGGTTTTCTGATCCAACAGATGCATATCTGTATTCCCAGTCATGTAAAATCCATAGATTAGGGCCTAATGAAATTATTTCAATTGACTGATTTCCTTATATCAACTGTAACTCAGTAAAATCTTTGAAATTGTTGCATGTTGAGTTTACATTTTTGTTCAGTGTAGATAATACTATAAGGTCTATAGAACCATGCTATTGTATACCATGACAGGAATGCTTCCAACTCACACTTAATATGAAGTCTCCACCATTACAAATAAAACTTACACCTAACCCTGTGAAACAACATTATGGCCCACATGGGAAATCTGCCTCAGATTCTGCTGCAGCCTCACAACCTGTTACCTCACACCTCCTCAAACCCTTGCCACTTCTGACTGTGGTAGGGTAGAAGGAGGAGGGGTGATAACACCTGGAACCAGGCCAGCAGGGTGGGGGTGAAGGGGGGTCAAATAGCTACGCTACACCGCTGCTCTGCTCTAACTGCTGGGTTTAGCTGCAGTTAGCTTTCCCATGTGAAACACCAACATCACACCGTCATATTGCCCCAGCCAACCCAAACCCCTGTGTGACAACACCCTGTGTCAGAACAACTCACATTGAACATGACTAAACATGAATAGTTTGTATTCAGACAAAATGGAGAGGAAACATTGTATTTGTGCAAGGGTTGTCCTACCAGCACTAGCTAAGGTAATGGGATGGACACACACGTGCACCTGCATCCTCACGTTCTCGCTTACTCACACACACGAAACATTAGCACTCAGACATGTGTGGTCCCCATTCCAATAAACGTAAATAAAATACCTCTGTAATTTTCCCCAAAAGTGAGGCCTGCAGCAGAGGATAAAGCAGTCAGAGAAAAAAACAATTGTCAGTGATAATATTCAGGAAAAGACACTTGATAACCTTGGGGGCCGACTAGGTGAAAAATCTGTCGATGTGCCCTTGAGCAAGGCACTTAACCCTAATTGCTCCTGTAAGTCGCTCTGGATAAGAGCGTCTGCTAAATGACTAAAATGTAAAATGTATCTCGCCTCCCTTACACAGTCTCTACACCAGGGATTATCAAGTAGATTGAGACGCGGGCTGATTTTTTCTTGAGCGGATAGTCAGGGGGCCGGAACATAATTACAAATAATTTGTAGACCGCAAAAAGCCCAAACAGATATAATATATGACTAAAACATAATCACATTACATTTGTATACGATCACATCTCTCTATTGTGCGTGGGAATACTTTGGAATAGATTTCCAAAATCAAAATCACTTGCAGCTGATTTGCTGGTGTTTTTACAGTCTTATGTCCAACAATAAAAAATAAATGTTTTGCTTAGAAAACTTTGGGGGCCAAATAAAATCACCAGTGGGCCACATTTGGCCCAGAGGCAACCATATGGGGAACCCTGCTCTACACACTGGTGCAGATGTCCATAATAATGGTCTAGAACAGGGTTATTCAACTTTTACACTAAGAGGTCCGGAGCCTGCTGGTTTTCTGTTCTACCTGATAATAAATTGCACCCACCTGGTGTCCCAGGTCTAAATCAGTGCATGATTAGAGGGGAACAATGAAAAAAATGCAATGGAACTGGCTTCGAGGTCCAGAGTTGAGTTTGAGGGGTCTAGAAGGTCTAATTCCTTCTATTCTAGGAATTGAAGAGCAAGCCGTTTACCAAGAACTACATGAATGGACATTGAACACAATTATAAACAATTATTGTAAGTTCTCTACCAAGGATATGATTCCCGTTTACAACAGGAAAATGCCATGATAATCATTACAGACCGTCACAGGAAGAGGCTACAGCCCTCTATGGCTAGGATGATGATTACATTTACATTTTAGTCATTTAGCAGACGCTCTTATCCAGAGCGACTTACAGTTAGTGAGTGCATACATTTTCATACTGATTAACTGATTAACAAATGAGGTTGAAGGAACTGAAGGAACTGAGGGAAGGAGGGGTGTACTGGCTTTCTCTGAAAGAGCCTGGTTCCCCTGACAGAACGTCACTCTCTGTTCAGGGAAGGGATGCATTTTAAAACCGTTTCGCTCGCACGCACCAAACACACATCTAGTCTAGGGGATATGGTCTAGAGTTCTGTGAATCAACATCAAAATTCTTCTAAATATGGTAAATCCATTTTAATTCAATCACTTTTTGACAGCATCTCTTTTTTGATTTAAATGAAACTTTCCATACATGTTTGCCCACAGAAAAAGTGGTCAGAATGTGACTTTTTGGACCTGAATGCCAAGAAAATTCAGGAGATAAAGGTGATGAAAGTTGACCCATTTTGCATACCATGAGACATTCATGTCTTCATCACCGGAAAGGATCAACGGTTTAGTTTGATATAATTTAAAAGCTTACAAACAGTGTTTAAAACTAAAAAAATTCTTGAAAAAAATGTTTTTTAATAAAAAATGATATATCAATTATCTAAAAAAGCGTAAACTCAGATTTTTAAAAATTATTTACATACGTTGTAGCTTAGACCCTATTTCACATCATGTGAGGTTTTTGTGTTCTGCCCGCCAACGCTTGAGATACAACATGCTCTTGAATACAGGGTTAATAGAATGGACCTATCCCTTCAGACCACAGTAGTTTAGCTGGTACACCATTGATATGTACAGTGCATTCGGAAAGTATTCAGACCCCTTGACTTTGTCCTTATCAATCTACACACAATAACCCATAATGACAAAGCGAAAACAGGTTTGGCATTTTTGCTAATTTATTCAAAATAAAAAACAGAAACACCTTATTTACATAAGTATTCAGACCCCTTGATATGAGACTCGAAATTGAGCTCAGGTGCATCCCGTTTCCATTGATCATCCTTGAGATGTTTCTACAAATTGATTTGAGTCCACCTGTGGTAAATTCAATTGATTGGACATGATTTGGAAAGGCACACACCTGTCTATATAAGGTCCCACAGTTGACAGTGCATGTCAGAGCAAAAACCAAGCCATGAGGTCGAAGGAATTGTCCGTAGAGCTCCGAGACAGGATTGTGTCGAGGCACAGATCTGGGGAAGGGTACCAAAACAGTTTTGCAGCATTGAAGGTCCCCGAGAACACAGTGGCCTCCATCATTCTTAAATGGAAGAAGTTTGGAACCACCAAGACTCTTCCTAGAGCTGGCCGCCCGGCCAAACTGAGCAATCGGGGAAGAAGGGCCTTTGTCAGGGAGGTGACCAAGAACCCGATGGTCACTCTGACAGAGCTCCAGAGTTCCTCTGTGGAGATGGGAGAACCTTCCAGAAGGACAACCATATCTGTAGCACTCCACCAATCAGGCCTTTATGGCCAGACGGAAGCCACTCCTCAGTAAAAGGCACATGACATCCGGCATGGGGTTTGCCAAAAGGCACCTAAAGGACTCTCAGACCATGACAAACAAGATTCTCTGGTCTGATGAAACCAAGATTGAATTCTTTGGCCTGAATGCCAAGAGTCATGTCTGGAGGAAACCTGGCACCATCCCTATCGTGAAGCATGGTGGTGGCAGCATCATGCTGTAGGGATGTTTTTCAGCGGCAGGGACTGGGAGACTAGTCTGGATCGAGGGAAAGATGAACGGAGCAAAGTAAAGTGAGATCCATGATGAAAACCTGCTCTAGAGCACTCAGGACCTCAGACTGGGGCGAAGGTTCACATTCCAACAGGACAGCGACCCTAAGTACACAGCGAAGACAACGCAGGAGTGGCTTCGGGACAAGTCTCTGAATGTCCTTGAGTGGCCCAGCCAGAGCCCGGACTTGAACCCGATCTAACATCTCTGGAGAGACCTGAAAATAGCTGTGCAGCGATGCTCCCCATTGATCTGCAGAGAAGGATGGAAGAAACTCCACAAATACAGGTGTGCCAAGCTTGTAGCTTCATACCCAAGAAGACTCGAGGCTGTAATCGCTGCCAAAGGTGCTTCAACAAAGTACTGAGTAAAGGGTCTGAATACTTACAGTGAGGGAAAAAAGTATTTGATCCCCTGCTGATTTTGTACGTTTGCCCACTGACAAAGACATGATCAGTCTATAATTTTAATGGTAGGTTTATTTGAACAGTGAGAGACAGAATAACAACAAAAAAATCCAGAAAAACACATGTCAAAAATGTTATAAATTGATTTGCATTTTAATGAGGGAAATAAGTATTTAACCCCCTCTCAATCAGAAAGATTTCTGGCTCCCAGGTGTCTTTTATACAGATAACGAGCTGAGATTAGGAGCACACTCTTAAAGGGAGTGCTCCTAATCTCAGCTTGTTACCTGTATAAAAGACACCTGTCCACAGAAGCAATCAATCAAATTCCAAACTCTCCACCATGGCCAAGACCAAAGAGCTCTCCAAGGATGTCAGGGACAAGATTGTAGACCTACACAAGGCTGGAATGGGCTACAAGACCATCGCCAAGCAGCTTGGTGAGAAGGTGACAACAGTTGGTGCGATTATTCGCAAATGGAAGAAACACAAAATAACTGTCAATCTCCCTCGGCCTGGGGCTCCATGCAAGATCTCACCTCGTGGAGTTGCAATGATCATGAGAACGGTGAGGAATCAGCCCAGACTACACGTGAGGATCTTGTCAATGATCTCAAGGCAGCTGGGACCATAGTCACCAAGAAAACAATTGGTAACACACTACGCCGTGAAGGACTGAAACCCTGCAGCGCCCGCAAGGTCCCCCTGCTCAAGAAAGCACATATACAGGCCCATCTGAAGTTTGCCAATGAACATCTGAATGATTCAGAGGAGAACTGGGTGAAAGTGTTGTGGTCAGATGAGACCAAAATCGAGCTCTTTGCCATCAACTCAACTCGCCGTGTTTGGAGGAGGAGGAATGCTGCCTATGACCCCAAGAACACCATCCCCACCGTCCAACATGGAGGTGGAAACATTATGCTTTGGGGTGTTTTTCTGCTAAGGGGACAGGACAACTTCACCGCATCAAAGGGACGATGGACGGGCCATGTACCATCAAATCTTGGGTGAGAACCTCCTTCCCTCAGCCAGGGCATTGAAAATGGGTCATGGATGGGTATACCAGCATGACAATGACCCAAAACACACAGCCAAGGCAACAAAGGAGTGGCTCAAGAAGAAGCACATTAAGGTCCTGGAGTGGCCTAGCCAGTCTCCAGACCTTAATCCCATAGAAAATCTGTGGAGGGAGCTGAAGGTTCGAGTTGCCAAACGTCAGCCTCGAACCTTAATGACTTGGAGAAGATCTGCAAAGAGGAGTGGGACAAAATCCCTCCTGAGATGTGTGCAAACCTGGTGGCCAACTACAAGAAACGTCTGACCTCTGTGATTGCCAACAAGGGTTTTACCACCAAGTACTAAGTCATGTTTTGCAGCAGGGTCAAATACTTATTTCCCTCATTAAAATGCAAATCAATTTATAACATATTTCACAAGCATTTTTCTGGATTTTTTTGTTGTTATTCTGTCTCTCACTGTTCAAATAAACCTACCATTAAAATTATAGACTGATCATGTCTTTGTCAGTGGGAAAACATATAAAATCAGCAGGGGATCAAATACTTTTTTCCCCTCACTGTACGTAAATGTGATATTTATTTTATTTTGCTAAAATTTCGAAAAACCTGTCATTTTTGCTTTCTCATTATAGGGTATTGTGTGTAGATTGATGAGGGGGGAAAACAATTTAATCCATTTTAGAATAAGGCTGTAACGTAACAAAATGTGTAAAAAGTCAAGGGGTCTGAATACTTTCCAAACATTCTGTAAATTGAATTGAAATGTTTACTTCCACAAAGATGACCACCGGTCCACCCACCGTCGAATGTCAACTTAAATGGTCATGTCTATTCTATGATCTATATTTCAATAGGTTTCCTATGGAGGATTAACAGTATAATTTAAAACAACAGATATTCCCATTCAAGTCAACATTCTCTGGTGTGTGGACCGCCAACCATCTTTGTGGTCCCATTTGAAAGTTGACATTTAAAATATAATTCCCATTTTAGTACATTTATCAGCCAAAATATTAAACCCACCCTGTATTCAAGAGCATGTCTTAACAACATATGTGAATATGCAAAAAAATCTGAGTTTACGCATTAAGATAATTGATGTTAAAGGTTAAAAAATGTCAGTTTTCTATTAAAAAACATGTTTTTCAAGAAATTATAAAATAGTTTGACAACCCTGTAAGCTTTTAAATGATAAACTCAACTGTTTATCTTTTCCAGTAATGAAGACATGGATGTCTCATGGTATGGTGGGGTATGCAAAATGGGTCAACTTTGAGCACCTTTATCTCTTGAATGTTTTGGCATTAAGGTAAAAAAAATGCACTTTCTGAACACTTCTTCAATGGTCAAATATGTATGGAGGGTTTTGTTCAAATCAAACAGGGTGTTGTCAAAAAGTGATTGAATTCAAATGGATTCACCATATAGGTAGGTAGGTGGGGAGGGTAGGGGGGTGAAACCAATATGTTATGTCAATTGAGGGAGGGGACATAATGTATGCATATGTGGTTAAATGTAGATTTGGTGTCTATTAGTATATCTATCCATACTTACAAACATGGTCCTGGCCACCTATACAATGAAGTGATGAAAGAGAGAGAGGGGGCTGGGGGTTAGAGGTAACATAAGCTAGGTGTGGGAGGGGCCATGTTAGGAGAGAGACTGGTGCCTCTTGTGAGCTGGGAGCTACACTGTAATTACAGAGATACATTTGGTAATTTTTAACCTTTAACCATGACATAAACACTGTCTTACTCCGAGCCGAGCCAAACCAAGCTTTACTGAGCCGGCCTGGTTACACATTCACCATTGTCCTTTTCAGCACGGTTTCAATTATGTGAAAATAAAATATCTGATCCAACAGTTTAGTTTGGGTTGACACGATCATGTAAAATGGACAACATAGTGGTTAGTTGTTGGTTGCGGTGGTTACCTGCAGGCTGGTGGACTGGTCGGAGAAGGGCGAGCTGAAGAAGGTGGTCACGATGCCCATGACTGTCTCGGTCACGTAGCTCTCCAGGACCGTGTCGGCGTGTTTGCGGTCACTCGTGTTGTTGCACACCTGCAGAGGTCACAAGGTCAAGAAGGTGACCACAACTCATTCCTGTTACACCTGCAGTTGTACTGCACTTATAACATCTATACAGTCTGAATGTCAGAATACTGAATGAATGCAGGCCTATGTACAGTATAGTACGGTATAGGGAGGATAAACTGTATTATGCTAATAATTATACTATTGTGCTCCAATGATGCCTTCTAAATTAGTTTCATTGAAACCCTGACCCATACTCATCAGTCATTCAGACATAACTATTGTGTAAGTGTTGTCCCTCACCCTGCAGATGTCCACCAGGAAGTTCTCAAAGAGCTTCCACATGTGGTTGCTAGTGTAGATCTCCTTCATCTCCACCTCTGTGTCCACATAGCAGTGGTTCAGGAAGTTGATGTAGGCTATCTTCACCTGGAAAGGACAGGATTAAACACAATCATTACACCCTGTCTATGCCCCTAGGAGTTGTTATACAATGATGATGAATGCATCGTGATAGTAGCTTTGGCCTGAGCTGGAGTACAGTGGCATGATGTTAGTTGATCTAGGGGACATGGTTGTACTGGGTTTGTCCCCATAGAGTGAGGCTCACTACTGTCTAACACAGAGAAGATGACAGCTAGTGGACAATTAGTTGTCCACAAGAGTGGAACAGGGGGACGAGGGCATTCAGGCCTTTGTGGGGACGGTTAGTTGATAATTGGTACTGTTCGCTTGTGAAGTCTTGGGGACCCACAGGCCCTTGCTCTAGACCTTCAAGTCTAACCATAACTCCCTAAACCTAAGTCCCACCCTTCTCCCTAACCTCTGTATCTCCCATCCTTCATCTCTTCAGCTCACCTCAGGGATGCAGTCCTCGTGGGTGACCACCCTCACTATGTCGTCCAGAGGCAGCAGAGAGTTACATTTGATCTCAGTGTAGACGTTCTTGCCTTCAGTGCAGACAGCCAGCAGCTCTACCAGGTGGATGTGGTACATCAGAGGACTGTTCTCATCCATACGGTCCCGCTCCGACCGCATCATCGTCACCAGGGTCTGGAAGGACGCACGGTCATTGTAGAACACTAGCACATCCTCGCCAGCATTCACCAGCTATGGGGAGAGAGGGACAGAGAAGAGAGAAAAATATAGAGAGTCAATGGGTAGGTAGGTTGGAAAGGGATGGTAAAATATGTCAAAATATGATTTGTTGGTGATGGACTTGAGTTGCATATGATTTGATGGGCTAAGGTATTAAGTTGTAGTAATAGAAAACTCTTTGAGAATAACAAATTAACTGTCTTGAAAAGAGTCAACTAGACTGAAATGTTGACAAATACACATGCTGAGGTTAGCATTGAGAAAAGACCTCAGCCATGACGATGTCCTGACACTTCTTAATGAACTTGCTCTCGGCCTTGACGATGGTCTGCAGGAACTTGAGGTACTGGACGTTGCGGCCATGCGTCTCGATGCAGTGGACAAAGTGCTGCACCACGCGCTCGTTGATCTCACTGCACAGCTGGAAGTTATTCATGAAGATATGCTGCATGGTGACTGCTTCGAGGATCTGAAGGGGGGGGGGGGGGAGAAGAGAAAGAGAAAAAGAGAGAGAAAGAGTAGAAGAGGTGGTTAAAGTAAGACAGTGTTAATGTCATAGTAAGAACAGTGGTGAGGTCATGGTGGGTCAGTGTAGTCTGTCTCACCCCAGGGTTGAGGAACAGGTTGATGTGTTTGTGGAGCAGGGCCTGGTTCTGCTGGTTCCCTGCACAGAAGTTCTGCAGGAACTGGTGGGCCAGCTTCATGATCTCCTGCATACGCACGTCCTCCCCCTGAAGATAACACAGAGGATGAAAGGATGGAGAGCACGCAAACACAAATCTACAAACATGCCCACACAAACACAAATCTACAAACACACACATACCACATGCGCACACACACGCACCAGTACCTTCTCATAGGGGATCTGCAGTAACTCCAGCACCACGGTGTGAGCCCCCATGTTCCTGAGCAGTCTCTGCTGCTGCTTCTTACTCTTCCTGCCGAACAGACCCTCCTGAACACACAGCCTGCTGAGACGCAGCAGAATCTACCCACACACATACATGGGATAGACACAGTCAGCCAACGTGTGTAAACATAGGGTCTAGCTTAACTACGTTAACCATAGCTCTATCCGTCCCAGATACTTACAGTGGGGAGAACAAGTATTTGATACACTGCTGATTTTGCAGGTTTTCCTACTTACAAAGCATGTAGAGGTCTGTAATTGTTATCATAGGTACACTTCAACTGTGAGAGACGGAATCTATAACAAAAATCCAGAAAATCACATTGTATGATTTTTAAGTAATTAATTTGCGTTTTATTGCATGACATAAGTATTTGATCACCTACCAACTAGTAAGAATTCCGGCTCTCACAGACCTGTTAGTTTTTCTTTAAGAAGCCCTCCTGTTCTCCACTCATTACCTGTATTAATGGCACCTGTTTGAACTTGTTACCTGTATAAAAGACAGCTGTCCACACACTCAATCAAACAGACTCCAACCTCTCCACATTGGCCAAGACCAGAGAGCTGTGTAAGGACATCAGGGATAAAATTGTAGACCTGCACAAGGCTGGGATGGGCTACAGGACAATAGGCAAGCAGCTTGGTGAGAAGGCAACAACTGTTGGCGCAATTATTAGAAAATGGAAGAAGTTCATGATGACGGTCAATCACCCTCGGTCTGGGGCTCCATGCAAGATCTCACCTCTTGGGGCATCAATGATCATGAGGAAGGTGAGGGATCAGCCCAGAACTACACGGCAGGACCTGGTCAATGACCTGAAGAGAGCTGGGACCACAGTCTCAAAGAAAACCATTAGTAACACACTACGCCGTCATGGATTAAAATCCTGTAACGCACGCAAGGTCCCCCTGCTCAAGCCAGTGCATGTCCAGGCCTGTCTGAAGTTTGCCAATGACCATCTGGATGATCCAGAGGAGGAATGGGAGACGGTCATGTGGTCTGATGAGACAAAAATAGAGCTTTTTGGTCTAAACTCCACTCGCCGTGTTTGGAGGAAGAAGAAGGATGAGTACAACCCCAAGAACACCATCCCAACCGATGGAGGTGGAAACATCATTCTTTGGGGATGCTTTTCTGCAAAGGGGACAGGACGACTGCACCGTATTGAGGGGAGGATGGATGGGGCCATGTATCGTGAGATCTTGGCCAACAACCTCCTTCCCTCAGTAAGAGCATTGAAGATGGGTCGTGGCTGGGTCTTCCAGCATAACAACGACCCGAAACACACAGCCAGGGCAACTAAGGAGTGGCTCCGTAAGAAGCATCTCAAGGTCCTGGAGTGGCCTAGCCAGTCTCCAGACCTGAACCCAATAGAAAATATTTGGAGGGAGCTGAAAGTCCGTATTGCCCAGCGACAGCCCCGAAACCTGAAGGATCTGGAGAAGGTCTGTATGGAGGAGTGGGCCAAAATCCCTGCTGCAGTGTGTGCAAACCTGGTCAAGACCTACAGGAAACGTATGATCTCTGTAATTGCAAACAAAGGTTTCTGTACCAAATATTAAGTTCTGCTTTTCTGATGTATCAAATACTTATGTCATGCAATAAAATGCAAATGAATTACTTAAAAGTCATACAATGTGATTTTCTGGATTTTTGTTTTAGATTCCGTCTCTCACAGTTGAAGTGTACCTATGATAAAAATTACAGACCTCTACATGCTTTGTAAGTAGGAAAACCTGCAAAATCAGCAGTGTATCAAATACTTGTTCTCCCCACTGTATGTGATAATACAGTATATTGAAAAGTTTAAAAAGACTGTTTAGACGTCACCTCCTTCACCACTCTGTAGTTGTAGCTGCTGGTGCTCTCTGGTTTCTTTGGTTTATCTGAGCCACCTGAGTTGGAGTCACCCTAAAGAACAAGCAGAACAAGACCCTTAGCCAATGCATCTCTCCCAAAGGATAGCGAGCAGGCTAACACCAACGCTCTATTGCCATAGTTTAACACACAGAGCTAAGCACTAGGTGGCTAACTCCTGGTCTGTGGATGCCTACAACTGTATCTTCTTGGACTACTACTGTACCTTCTCGGACTACTACTGTACCATCTCGGACTACTACTGTACCATCTCGGACTACTACTGTACCATCTCGGACTACTACTGTACCTTCTCGGACTACTACTGTACCTTCTCGGACTACTACTGTACCTTCATGTGTTGAGACTTGGCAGAGTGTTCCCCAGTGTCCATGCCCTCGTCTGGCCCCAGTCTCTTGTAGACCCACAGCTCAGACTTCTCCACAATGGAGCGTAGCTGGTCCAGGTCTGACTTGATCTGCTTGTAGTTCTCCACATCCTGACTAGTCACCAGCAACTGGACCTGGAGGCATGGACAACAAACCAGTAGGACACCAGTATGGAGGATACCAGATGTGGGATGGCTGCATGGTGTTTATGATTAGAGACAAATAAGAGTTTTACCTGATCATGTGACTGGACTAGGATACACTCTGGGCCCTAGTTGGAGTGTATACTTATAGGTTTTCCTGGTCAGGTCATGCAGTCATTTCCTGGTCAAGCATGACTAAAGCCCTACCGGGTACTTATAGACTGTTAGGATAATTGGAATTACTCGAAGGATATTAGGTAAGTGTGAGTAATGGGGTCATTGGTAGGCTACACAGTGTAATGGCAAATACGGACTATGAGTTAAGTAACTTCTAGGATAGTGAATACACTATGTATGACTATTCTGTATGTATGACTAATAGGACTACATTTGACATTTTAGTTATTTAGCAAACATTTGTATTCAGACATACAATAAGTGCATAATAATAATATGTCCAAATAAGTATAGCTAATGGGTATGCTTTTGTGATGCGCGAATCAGCTCAAAACCCTAGTCTTTCTGAGAAATGTTTATACAATCTACTCATGCATTTAGAATTGGCTACTTTAAATGAGATGTGTGTCATTGTTTCTATTATATTACATTAGGCGGGTGAAGGGCAGTTTATTTTTATTTTTACTGCAGGTCAGATGCGGGTCAAAAGATATCTGACCCGTGCATCATTAGTACAGTGAGGGAAAAAAGTATTTAGTCAGCCACCAATTGTGCAAGTTCTCCCACTTAAAAAGATGAGGCCTGTAATTTTCATCATAGGTACACGTCAACTATGACAGACAAAATGAGAAAAACTAATCCAGAAAATCACATTGTAGGATTTTTAATGAATTTATTTGCAGATTATGGTGGAAAGTAAGTATTTGGTCAATAACAAAAGTTTCTCAATATTTTGTTATATACCCTTTGTTGGCAATGACACAGGTCAAACGCTTTCTGTAAGTCTTCACAAGGTTTTCACACACTGTTGCTGGTATTTTGGCCCATTCCTCCATGCAGATCTCCTCTAGAGCAGTGATGTTTTGGGGCTGTCGCTGGGCAACACGGACTTTCAACTCCCTCCAAAGATTTATGGGGTTGAGATCTGGAGACTGGCTAGGCCACTCCAGGACCTTGAAATGCTTCTTACGAAGCCACTCCTTCGTTGCCCGGGCGGTGTGTTTGGGATCATTGTCATGCTGAAAGACCCAGCCACGTTTCATCTTCAATGCCCTTGCTGATGGAAGGAGGTTTTCACTCAAAATCTCACGATACATGGCCCCATTCATTCTTTCCTTTACACGGATCAGTCGTCCTGGTCCCTTTGCAGAAAAACAGCCCCAAAGCATGATGTTTCCACCCCCATGCTTCACTGTAGGTATGGTGTTCTTTGGATGCAACTCAGCATTCTTTGTCCTCCAAACACGACGAGTTGAGTTTTTACCAAAAAATTATATTTTGGTTTCATCTGACCATATGACATTCTCCCAATCCTCTTCTGGATCATCCAAATGCACTCTAGCAAACTTCAGACGGGCCTGGACATGTACTGGCTTAAGCAGGAGGACACGTCTTGCACTGCAGGATTTGAGTCCCTGGCGGCGTAGTGTGTTACTGATGGTAGGCTTTGTTACTTTGGTCCCAGCTCTCTGCAGGTCATTCAGGACAGAGGAGCCTCTTAAAGAAGAAGTTACAGGTCTGTGAAAGCCAGAAATCTTGCTTGTTTGTAGGTGACCAAATACTTATTTTCCACCATAATTTGCAAATAAATTCATTAAAAATCCAACAATTTGATTTTCTGGATTTTTTTCCTCAATTTGTCTGTCATAGTTGACGTGTACCTATGATGAAAATTACAGGCCTCTCTCATCTTTTTAAGTGGGAGAACTTGCACAATTGGTGGCTGACTAAATACTTTTTTCCCCCACTGTAGCGCCGGAGAAGATGGCTGCCGTTTTACAGCCCTCTAACCAATTGTACTATTATGTGTGTTTTTCCGCGTTATTTGTAATTTATTTTGTACATAATGTTTTTTGTTGTTGTTTTATTTTTTACTTTTTTTGTTAAAAATAAATGCACTGTTGGTTAAGGGCTGTAAGTAAGCATTTCACTGTAATGTCTGCACCTGTTGTATTCGGCGCATGTGACCAATAAAATTTGATTTGATTTGATTTGACAGTATACTAGTTGTATGGTGGGTGGGTAGTAGTAGTGTACCTGTTTGAATGCCTGTAGAACCTCCTGTCTCTGGCTGAAGTGTCTGAAGAGCAGGTGGAGGGCTCGGGACACCAGGGGAGGGTAGTCATGCATGGTGAGGTGGAGCAGGACCCTCAGGAAGGTCCTACCACCATGGTCATCTAGGTCCAACGGGGTGTTCTCCTCACTGGGTGTGGGCACACAAGCACACATTTTTTAACACATTCACAAACACACACAACAAACTGTGAATTAGCCATGCCAAGTATGAAAAAATAACTGAAATGAGCCAGACTAATTGTTGCAGGTTTAGTGTATCACAACAATTACCTTCCACCAAATATCCCCTCTGCCTGCTCCTCTATGTTCTCAAAGTCCAGAGCTCCTGAGAAATCAATTCAGAGTGACCTTAGTAACACACAGAGAGGTGTCACGCCAAGTGATGGGTGCCATAAGCTGAATTCTCCTCTCACCTGGCATGTTGTTTGGTCCCTCATGGGTTCCTGCTATAGACAGATCAGACTGGGAGTTGCTCTCATCAAACTCCCTCTTAAAGATACACAGCAGACAGGAGATCCGGTAGTCCAGACGCACATTCAGAATGAACTGCAGAGAGACGAGAGGAACATGACACATACTAAATGAGTAAGACTAGTGTATTGTAGGGGGATTATATTAGGATAAGCAATGGGGGTTATGGGTGAGTGGTTGGGGTTAAGGAGGGTAGCCAAGTTTGACGGGAAGGACGTTTGCAAAGGGGTGTATACAGTATACTGTATGTCCACATCCATTGCATGTATGCATCGATTGTGATGTGTGTGTGTGTGTGTGTGTGTGCATGTGCGTGGGCCTTACTACCTGTAGTATCTCTATGATCTTGAGCTTGGTGTCCATGACCAGGATGTCCTGTTTCTCCGGTTCTGTTTGGGCCTTGACCTGGTCCCCGTTGGAGGGGTTGATGGGGGTGGTGGGCAGGAACCCCCCTCCTCTCAGGACAACCTGGGTCATCAGCTCCCCCACCCCGTGGATGGAGCGCATTACATTACTGCCTGGAAAGGCATGCAGGCACACATGATTGGCCCAACCATCATGTATGTGCGAGCACAATTGTTCAGTACTTTGTTGGCCATGGGGTGAATAATGCTCAAGCTTAGGGTTGCAAAATCCCAGAATCCAACCAGTATTTCTGAGAAAAACCTGGGAACTTTAGGAATGTTTCTGGAAATTTGCAACCCTATTCAAGCCCCACTGATGTTTGACCTTTCACCCCTCTAGGGGGCAGTATGTTACTGTGTCCTACCTTTAGTCTCATCTCCCTTCTCCAGCTTGTTGATGGGGAAGATGGTGCTGACGTGGACACAGTCCAGGATGGCCAGTAGGATCTTGGTCAGCCTCAGCAGGTCACTGAAGTTGTAGAAGCCAAAGTAGATGAGGTTCCTGGATAGATTCACTACCTGGGAACAGAAAGAGATGGGGAAAGAGAACAAAGCTAGTGTAAATCCATGTCCTACTGAGACTCATTCTGCTATGACCAATAGGGACTGGGTCTCATACTGCTTTGACTAATATAGACTGGGTCTCAGTCTATAGACTACAAAGGGAAGCACAGCCGCGAGCTGCCCAGTGACACAAGCCTACCAGACGAGCTAAACAACTTCTATGCTCGCTTCGAGGCAAGCAACACTGAAGCATGCATGAGAGCACCAGCTGTTCCGGATGACTATGTGATCACGCTCTCCGTAGCTGATGTAAGTAAGACTTTTAAGCAGGTCAACATTCACAAGGCCGCAGGGCCAGACGGATTACCAGGACGTGTACTCCGAGCATGTGCTGACAAACTGGCAAGTGTCTTCACTGACATTTTCAACATGTCCCTGACTGAGTCTGTAATACCAACATGTTTCAAGCAGACCACCATAGTCCCCGTGCCCAAGGACTCTAAGATAACCTGCCTAAATGACTACCGACCCGTAGCACTGACGTCTGTAGCCATGAAGTGCTTTGAAAGGCTGGTCATGGCTCACATCAACAGCATTATCCCAGAAACCCTAGACCCACTCCAATTTGCATACTGCCCCAACAGATCCACAGATGATGCAATCTCTATTGCACTCCACACTGCCCTTTCCCACCTGGACAAGAGGAACACCTACGTGAGAATGCTATTCATTGACTACAGCTCAGCATTCAACACCATAGTGCCCTCTAAGCTCATCACTAAGCTAAGGATCCTGGGACTAAACACCTCCCTCTGCAACTGGATCCTGGACTTCCTGACGGGCCGCCCCCAGGTGGTAAGGGTAGGTAACAACACATTTGCCACACTGATCGTCAACACGGGGGCCCCTCAGGGGTGCGTGCTCAGTCCCCTCCTGTACTCTCTGTTCACCCATGACTGCATGGCCAGGCACGACTCCAACACCATCATTAAGTTTGCCGACGACACAACAGTGGTAGGCCTGATCACCGACAACGATGAGACAGCCTATAGGGAGGAGGTCAGAGACCTGGCTGTGTGGTGCCAGGACAACAACCTCTCCCTCAACGTGACCAAAACAAAGGAGATGATTGTGGACTACAGGAAAAAAAAGAGGACTGAGCACGCCCCCATTCTCATCGACGGGGCTGTAGTGGAACAGGTTGAGAGCTTCAAGTTCCTTGGTGTCCACATCACCAACGAACTATCATGGTCCAAACACACCAAGACAGTCGTGAAGAGGGCACGACAAAGCCTATTCCCCCTCAGGAGACTGAAAAGATTTGGCATGGGTCCTCAGATCCTCAAAAAATTCTACAGCTGCACCATCGAGAGCATCCTGACTGGTTGCATCACCGCCTGGTATGGCAACTGCTTGGCCTCCGACCGCAAGGCACTACAGAGGGTAGTGCGTACGGCCCAGTACATCACTGGGGCCAAGCTTCCTGCCATCCAGGACCTCTATACCAGGCGGTGTCAGAGGAAGGCCCTCAAAATTGTCAAAGACTCCAGCCACCCTAGTCATAGACTGTTCTCCCTGCTACCGCACGGCAAGCGGTACCGGAGTGCCAAGTCTAGGTCCAAAAGACTTCTCAACAGCTTCTACCCCCAAGCCATAAGACTCCTGAACAGCTAATCATGGCTACCCGGACTATTTGCACTGCCCCCCCACCCCATCCTTTTTACGCTGCTGCTACTCTGTTAATTATTTATGCATAGTCACTTTAACTCTACCCACATGTACATATTACTTCAACTATCTCAACTAGCCGGTGCCCCCGCACATTGACTCTGCACCGGTACCCCCCTGTATATATAGCCTCCCTACTGTTATTTTATTTCTGCTCTTTTTTTCTCAACACTTTTTTTGTTGTTGTTTTATTTTTACTTTTTTTGTTAAAAATAAATGCACTGTTGGTTAAGGGCTGTAAGTAAGCATTTCACTGTAATGTCTGCACCTGTTGTATTCGGCGCATGTGACCAATAAAATTTGATTTGATTTGATTTGAGATGGACTGACCAATTACCTCGAAGGTGAGTTTGTTCTTCTCCTTGTCGGCGAATGGGAAGCTCTGACACACCACGTCTCTCAGGTAGTTCTCGACAAACTCCATGGTCAGGGCAAAACGTTCCTTGATCTCATCCTTGGACGTGCCGTCGTTGTCATAGCTGGGACCAAGGGATACAGGTAGGGGACAGTTGAGAACTTACGACTAACTCTTACCATGTTAATGCTACTCTCAACACTCCATTAAGACTGATGTGATTTTCTACCTAAGCTCAAATAATGTCCACACAAGACTTATCAGGCTTATCAAGGCTATGACACATTGTATTCCCTCCTTCACTCCAAACTGTGTACACTCCACTTACTCCATTCCTGATGGCCATTGGACATACAAGTCATTCCTTTCCTCAACCCTGATTGGCCATTGTCCCTGCTACTAAATCCTTTCCCCAACCCTGATAGGCCGTCGGCCCTGCCACTCACTCATCAATGGCGATCTCGGAGGGGATCTCAGACCAGAGGCGGGCATACTTTACAGGCGTGACCTGTTCCTGGGGGTCGCGGTCCACGTGCATGTGCAGCATCATGCGGCAGAAGGAAGCGCGCAGGTCGTAAGGCAGGTCCTCATCAGACATGCAGCGCAGGATCAAGTCCACGTCCAGCTGGCCAGAGATCTTATTGATGGCCAGGTACTGACGGTCCAGACACATCCGTGCAAACAGGTTCAGCTGGTACCTGGGAGATAGAGAGAGGTAGGGACAGGGGCATCACTGCTTAGACATTTAGAGACACAGAGGCAATAAAGGAGACAATGAACAAACAGAAAGTCCAAGTTTCAAGGTTAATGGTGCATGCTGGTTCTCTACTTCCTGGTACTTTATTAATCAATTAATATCATTAGTTTCAGAACAAAGTGGACTATAAATTATTTCATTTATATTGGACCTTTTCCAAGTACTCATATGAACTTGTAAGGGGAGAGGGGGTGGGTAGTACTTACCTCATCCACTCCCAATGTGTAGGACCCCATTTCCAAAAATTTTTACATTTACATTTTTAGTCATTTAGCAGACGCTCTTATCCAGAGCGACTTACAGTTAGTGAATACATATTTTTTTTTTATACTGGCCCCCCGTGGGAATCGAACCCACAACCCTGGCGTTGCAAACGCCATGCTCTATCAACTGAGCTACATCCCTGCCGGCCATTCCCTCCCCTACCCTGGACGACGCTGGGCCAATTGTGCGCCGCCCATGAGTCTCCCGGTCGCGGCCGGCTGCGACAGAGCCTGGATTCGAACCAGGATCTCTAGTGGCACAGTTAGCACTGCGATGCAGTGCCTTAGACCACTGCGCCACTCAGGAAACTAGGATGAAGGATGAAAAAATCAAGGATGAAACCCACATATACACACACACACTAGTATTTAGACCGACACAGACGTTATTCACCTTTTACAGTCACAGACAGTAAAGAAGAGAAAAATCCTGGTGTTGTTTCTGACCTGTAGTAGCTGACCACCTCTTGGTCCTCCTTGGCGCCTTCCTTGGCATCCTGGGCCAGTTCTCTGATGCTCTTACTCCTGATCTCCTTACTGCTGTCCTTCCAGAACAGCCACACCTCCTCCTCGTCCTCCTCAGACTCCACTGAGTTCTCTCCGATGGATGCTCCTTCGATCTCAAACCTTGACAGCACCAATCTGGGGAGGGGAGAATAAGTTTCCCCTATAACAACAGATCTAGGATCAGATTGCCCTATCAGCAATAATTATCAAGGGGGAATCAACATCTGATCTCAAACCTGGACAGCACCAGTCTCGGGAGGAGAGGAATTGTTATAACCCCTCTAACGACAGATCTAGGATCAGATTACCAAATCACCAATCATAACCATGACTATTCAGGTTGTGGAAACAGTATTAGATCTCAAACCTGGACAGCACCAGTCTCGTACCAGCCCTGCTCGAAAACACTGTATTCAAGTACAGTGGGGGAAAAAAGTATTTAGTCAGCCACCAATTGTGCAAGTTCTCCCACTTAAAAAGATGAGAGAGGCCTGTAATTTTCATCATAGGTACACGTCAACTATGACAGACAAAATGAGAAAAAAAAATCCAGAAAAACACATTGTAGGATTTTTAATTAATTAATTTGCAAATTATGGTGGAAAATAAGTATTTGGTCAATAACAAAAGTTTCTCAATACTTTGTTATATACCCTTTGTTGGCAATGACACAGGTCAAACGTTTTCTGTAAGTCTTCACAAGGTTTTCACACACTGTTGCTGGTATTTTGGCCCATTCCTCCATGCAGATCTGCTCTAGAGCAGTAATGTTTTGGGGCTGTCGCTGGGCATCACGGACTTTCAACTCCCTCCAAAGACTTTCTATGGGGTTGAGATCTGGAGACTAGCTAGGCCACTCCAGGACCTTGAAATGCTTCTTACGAAGCCACTCCTTCATTGCCCGGGCGGTGTGTTTGGGATCATTGTCATGCTGAAAGACCCAGCCACGTTTCATCTTCAATGCCCTTGCTGATGGAAGGAGGTTTTCACTCAAAATCTCACGATACATAGCCCCATTCATTCTTTCCTTTACACGGATCAGTCGTCCTGGTCCCTTTGCTGAAAAACAGCCCCAAAGCATGATGTTTCCACCCCCATGCTTCACAGTAGGTATGGTGTTCTTTGGATGCAACTCAGCATTCTTTGTCCTCCAAACACGAAGAGTTGAGTTTTTACCAAAAAATTATATTTTGGTTTCATCTGACCATATGACATTCTCCCAATCCTCTTCTGGATCATCCAAATGCACTCTAGCAAACTTCAGACGGGCCTGGACATGTACTGGCTTAAGCAGGAGGACACGTCTTGCACTGCAGGATTTGAGTCCTTGGCGGCGTAGTGTGTTACTGATGGTAGGCTTTGTTACTTTGGTCCCAGCTCTCTGCAGGTCATTCACTAGGTCCCCCCGTGTGGTTCTGGGATTTTTGCTCACCGTTCTTGTGATCATTTTGACCCCACGGGGTGAGATCTTGCGTGGAGCCCCAGATCGAGGGAGATTATCAGTGGTCTTGTATGTCTTCCATTTCCTAATAATTGCTCCCACAGTTGATTTCTTCAAACCAAGCTGCTTACCTATTGCAGATTCAGTCTTCCCAGCCTGGTGCAGGTCTACAATTTTGTTTCTGGTGTCCTTTGACAGCTCTTTGGTCTTGGCCATAGTGGAGTTTGGAGTGTGACTGTTTGAGGTTGTGGACAGGTGTCTTTTATACTGATAACAAGTTCAAACAGGTGCCATTGATACAGGTAACGAGTGGAGGACAGAGGAGCCTCTTAAAGAAGAAGTTACAGGTCTGTGAAAGCCAGAAATCTTGCTTGTTTGTAGGTGACCAAATACTTATTTTCCACCATAATTTGCAAATAAATTCATTAAAAATCCTACAATGTGATTTTCTGGATTTTTTTTCCTCAATTTGTCAGTCATAATTGACGTGTACCAATGATGAAAATTACAGGCCTCTCTCATCTTTTTAAGTGGGAGAACTTGCACAATTGGTGGCTGACTAAATAATTTTTTTCCCCCACTGTAAATGTGGTCTAAATTGAAGACCAAAAGCGAATTAGCCGAATCAGGTGTGTTGGAGCTGGGCTAGAACAAAAGCCTGCACACATAGCCGGTTGACCCTCCCTGAGGTACATACAAACATGTTGGCATGAGGATACACATCACTAACACATCTAGGGGAAAGGGGGATACCTAGTCAGTTGCACAACTGAATGCATTCAACTGAAATGTGTCTTCCACATTTAACTCAACCCCTCTGAATCAGAAAGGTGCGGGGGGCTGCCTTAAATCGACGTAATCTGCGTCATATAGCTAGGGAATACAGTTTGGTTGAACTAAAAAGCATCACATGGAGTCCTGAGAGGACAAGGAGTAAAACTGCCTCTTCATTTGTGTGTTTGTGTAGCACTGAGAACAGAACACATAGGTACATATGAATGCAAGCCTTTCACTTTCGACCCATGGCAAACATGGAGATATTAAGTGCTTTGCAATTATCAAGCATTTTCTGAAAGAACAGATGTTTACTGAATGGTATGATATTGTTCTCTACTACAGTGCCTTCAGAAAGTATTCATACCCCTTGACTTATTCCACATCTTGTTGTGTTACAGCCTGAATTCTAAATGGATTAAATAGATTTTGCTTTCTCACCCATCTACACACAGTACCCCATAATGACACAGTGAAAACATGTTTTTAGGCCAGTGACAAAAAAATCTCAATTTAATCCATTTTAAATTCAGGCTGTAACACATCAAAATGTGGAAAAAGTCTGAAGGCACTGTATATTGCTAGATGACCATATATTATTAACCATAAACCTGGATGTGTGTGCAGGACGGACCACCCTGTGCTGCAAGCGTCATGGGAAATCTGGAAAAAGTCAAGGGGTGTGAATACTTTCTGAAGGCACTGTAGTTAGGCATGTCCATTAGGACAACCATGAGGACTCATTAATGTGTTCTGTAGAGCTCAGGGTACACCAGGAGTAAACACTCCATCATATTGTCACCTTGAGCAGCTTGTCTGTATGACTGAAATAGATCCTACTGAATACACTTCCTTACAGAGAGTAGTACTGCACTGAAGATATCGCTCTTTATCTGCCATACTAGAACAACCTGTGATAGACTATAGACAGACAACCATTGGATATTGTTAAATGTTTGGAGAAAATGGGTTTCTATAAGGTATTGATTGATTCTTCAAAGGAGAAGAGAGGAGAGGAATGGAGAGGCGAGGAGAGGAGGCATACTTAGTCTCTATGAGGATGTCTCCGTTGGTGGGGTCCAGGACTGCGTTACAGATGAGCTCCTGGGTTACAGGGATAGACTTGTTCATAGACACACACAAGTCAGACAGGTAGTCCAGGAACCTGGAAGACACACACAGATCATTCAACGGACAAAGACGTTCACATGTAGACAAAAACACGTTTCTATAGACCTATGATCAGCCTCCAATAAAAAATTCCCCAAAAGCTTCACTTGACCACCAGACTTCAATTAAGTGCCACGATTAAATGACACAGGAAAACATACCATCTTCCCTTGAGCAGCTTACAACACACTCTACAGTGTTTTTACTCCCTTGATGTTGCAAACGGCCAACACATTCAGGCAGCAACCAGTCTTCAATCACATAGAACACAGCAATATATAATCTGGCTATAAAGGAACATACAGACAGATACCAAGACATGCAAATTAACACACTAAAACCTGTACCAAAAACCTGTACTGTACACACAAATGTGTCCATGCACAGTGATCACATGCACATACAGTGGCAGGAAAAGGTATGTGAACCCTTTGGAAATACCTGTATTTCTGTATAAATTGGTCATAAAATGTGATCTGATCTTCATCTAAGTCACAACAATAGACAAACACAGTCTGCTTAAACTAATAACACACAAACTATATTGAATACATTTAAACATTCATAGTGTAGGTGGAAAAAGTATATGAACTCCTAGGCTAATGACTTCTCCAAAAGCTAATTGGAGTCAGCTAACCTGGAGTCCAATCAATGAGACGAGATTGGAGCTGCCCTGCCCTATAAAAATCACTCACAAAATTTGAGTTTGCTATTCACAAGAAGCATTGCCTGATGTGAACCATGCCTCGAACAAAAGAGATCTCAGAAGACCTAAGATTAAGATTTGTTGACTTGCATAAAGCTGGGAAGGGTTACAAAAGTATCTCTAAAAGCCTTGATGTTCATCAGTCCATGGTAAGAACAATTGTCTATAAATGGAGAAAGTTCAGCACTGTTGCTATTCTCCCTAGGAGTGGCCGTCCTGCAAAGATGACTGCAAGAGCACAGCGCAGAATGCTCAATGAGGTTAAGAAGAATCCTAGAGTGTCAGCTAAAGACTTACAGATATCTCTGGAACATGCGAACATCTCTGTTGACGAGTCTACGATACGTAAAACACTAAACAAGAATGGTGTTCATGGGAGGACACCACGGAAGAAGCCACTGCTGTCCAAAACAACATTGCTGCATGTCTGAAGTTCGCAAAAGAGCACCTGGATGTTCCACAGCGCTACTGGCAAAATATTCTGTGAACAGATGAAACTAAGCTTGAGTTGTTTGGAAGGAACACAAACACTATGTGTGGAGAAAAAAAGGCACAGCACACCAACATCAAAACCTCATCCCAACTGTAAAGTATGGTGGAGGGAGCATCATGGTTTGGGGCTGCTTTGCTGCCTCAGGGCCTGGACAGCTTGCTATCATCGACGGAAAAATGAATTCCCAAGTTTATGAAGACATTTTGCAGGAGAATGTAAGGCTATCTGTCCGCCAAATTGAAGCTCAACAGAAGTTGGGTGATGCAACAGGACAACGACCCAAAACACTGAAGTAAATCAACAACAGAATGGCTTCAACAGAAGAAAATACGCCTTCTGGAGTGGCCCAGTCAGAGGCCTGACCTCAACCCGATTGAGATGCTGTGGCATGACCTCGAGCAATTCACACCAGACATCCCAAGAATATTGCTGAACTGAAACAGTTTTGTAAAGAGGAATGGTCCAAAATTCCTCCTGACCGTTGTGCAGGTCTGATCCGCAACTACAGAAAACGTTTGGTTGAGGTTATTGCTACCTAAGGAGGGTCAACCAGTTATTAAATCCAAGGGTTCACATACTTTTTCCACCCTGCACTGTGAATGTTTACACAGTGTGTTCAATAAAGACATGTAAATGTATAATTGTTTGTGTTATTAGTTTAAGCAGGCTGTGTTTGTCTATTGTTGTGACTTAGATGAAGATCAGAAAATTATGACCAATTTATGCAGAAATCCAGGTAATTCCAAAGGGTTCACATACTTTTTCTTGCCACTGTACACACACACACACACACACACACACACACACACACACACACACACACACACACACACACCTGGGCTCCCGGTTCTTCCTGACGAGGCTGACGAAGGTGTCTATCTCTGCAGCGGTGATGTGTTTCTCCAGCAGCTTGCGGTTGTTGTGGAGCAGGGCTGTGATAGTGTCCTCAGCCAGAACATCATAACCTATCTGCTTCTGCATGAAGCGGAACTGCTTGGCTATGTACTCCTATTGGACAAACACAGGCCCTGGTCTTAGTCAAACATTATCACAACATTGGGATTGTGGTCCTGTGTGGCTCAGTTAGTAAGTGCATGGCGCTAGCAACGCCAGGGGTTGTGGGTCAGATTTCCACTGGGGCCAACCATACAAAAATCTATGCACTCACTACTGTAAGTCGCAATGGATAAAAGTGTCTACTAAATAGCATATGTTACATTGTGATGCCATGCTATCAAATGAGGTTAAATAAATAATTGTGAATGAGGTCAATCAAATAATGTATGGTTGAATGGTTAGCCACTTCTGATTTAGAGTTTCAATGACAATGTGTTCATAGTGTAATCGAGCTTGCTACTAGCTCACTAAGACTATGCATCGTTGCCTCAGTATTCCTGACCTAACATTACCCACTCATTACTTCAACAACAACGAATTTACTGTAGTACAGGCTAAACTCATTTCTTAGGATTCATGGGTAGATAAAATCTGAGATTCCCCACATAAATTCCACAGACTACCTTTCAATTCCCATGGGTAATTCCCCAATTACCCCCCAAATTCTTCCCAATTTTCCTGGAATTGTTCAACTGGACTGACCAGTGTAACGTCATTAGACTACAGAGAGAATGGCGGTCCCTGCTAATGGAGACAGAATTAGTGCGGCTGGATCAAAGGCCTCCAGCATTCATCTGAGACTGGGAGAACAGAGCCTGTCCACAGTCATCAGGCAGCTTCCTCCTTCAGCAGAATCCAGCCACCATTCCAACAATTACACAGTATGTGAAAGTGGGACCAGAGAGACATCCTTCTGTGTCTGTCTGTCTGAGTGTATATGGATAATGTACGTTTTTGTAGGAGTGCGATCGTGTGCGTGATTCTGTGTGTGTGCATGTGTCTGAGAGCGGGGGTGCGTGTCTTGTTCCCTGAGAGGGAGGGCTGGGGCAGCTGAAAGTTTGATGAAGGCATAATGTGAGTGTAGTTGACACACTGACTAAAAACCACATTAAATTACAGCTCTCTATGCATGGCATGGTCTTTACATTAAAGGGATACTTCAGGATTTTGGCAGTGAAGCCGTTTATCCACTTGCCCAGAGTCAGATTAACTCGTGGACACAGTCTTTAAGTCTCTGCGTGCAGTTTGAAGGAAGTTGCTAACTAGCGTTAGCACAATGACTGGAAGTCTACGGTAACTGCTAGCATGCTAGCAGATACACTATATATACACACACAAAAGTATGTGGACTCCACTTCAAATTAGTGGATTCGGCTATTTCAGCCACACCCGTTGCTGACAGGTGTATAAAATAGAGCACATAGCCATGCAATCTCCTTAGACAAACATTGGCAGTAGAATGGCCTTACTGAAGAGCTCAGTGACTTTCAACGTGGCACCGTCATAGGATGCCCCCTTTCCAACAAGTCAGTTCGTCAAATTTCTGCACTGCTAGAGCTGCCCCGGTCAACTGTAAGTGCTGTTATTGTGAAGTGGAAACGTCTAGAACAACAACGGCTCAGCCGCAAAGTCGTACTCCACACAAGCTCACAGAACAGGAGCACTGATTTTCCTCGGTTGCAACACTCACTACAGAGTTCCAAACTGCCTCTCGAAGCAACGTCAGCACAAGAACCGCTCGTTGGGAGCTTCATTAAATGGGTTTCCATGGCCGAGCAGCCACACACAAGCCTAAGTTCACCATGCGCAATGCCAAGTGTCAGCTGGAGTGGTGTAAAGCTCGCCGCCATTGGACTCTGGAGCAGTGGAAACGCGTTCTCTGGAGTGATGATTCACACTTCACCATCTGGCAGTCCGGCTGATGAATCTGGGTTTGGCGGATGCCAGGACAATGCTACTTGCCCCAGTGCATAGTGCCAACTGTAAAGTTTGGTGGAGGAGGAATAATGGTCTGGGGCTGTTTTTCATGGTTCAAGCTAGGCCCCTTAGTTCCAGTGAAGGGAAAACTTAAATGCTACAGCATACAAAGACATTCTAGACGATTCTGTGCTTCCAACTTTGCGGCAACAGTTTGGGGAAGGCCCTTTCATGTTTTAGCATGACAATGCGCCCGTGCACAAAGCAAATGTCCATACAGAAATGGTTTGTCGAGATCGGTGCGGAAGAACTTGGCTGGCCTGCTGCACAGAGCCTGACCTCAACTCCATCTAACACCTTTGGGATGAATTGGAATGCAGACTGTGAGCCAGGCCTAATCACCCAACATCAGTGCCCGACCTCACTAATGCTCGTGGCTGAATGGAAGCAAGTCCCCGCAGCAATGTTCCAACATCTAGTGGAAAGCCTTCCCAGTAAGAGTGGAGGCTGTTATAGCAGCAAAGGGGGGACCAACTCCATATTAATACCCACATGTACATATTACCTAAATTACCTCGACTAACCGGTGCCCCTGCACATTGACTCTGTACCGGTACCCCCTTTATATAGCCTCCCTACTGTTATTTTATTTTACTGCTGCTCTTTAATTATTTGCTATTTTTTACTTATCTATTTTTTACTTAACACTTTTTTTTCTCTTTTCTTAAACTGAATTGTTGGTTAAGGGCTTGTAAGTAAGCATTTCACTGTAAGGTCTACACATTTTACATTTACATTTTAGTCATTTCCAGAGCGACTTACAGTTAGTGAGTGCATACATTTTCATACTGGTCCCCCGTGGGAATCGAACCCACAACCCTGGCGTTGCAAGCGCCATGCTCTACCAACTGAGCTACACGGGGCCCCTGTTGTATTCAGCGCATGTGGCAAATAACATTTGATTTGATGATTTTGGAATGAGATGTTCGACAAGCAGTTGTCCACATACTTTTGGTCAAGATTGTTTTGATCACGCGGACTGGGATATGTAGCTTCTGAAAATAATTTAGACGAATACACTGAAACAGTGACTGAGTTTATCAGGAAGTGTATAGGTGGTGATGTGCCCACTGTGACTATTAAAACCTACCCTAACCAGAAACCGTGGATAGACGGCAGCATTCGCGCAAATCTAAAAGCGCGAACCACCGCATTCAACCATGGCAAGATGACTGGGAATATGGCAGAATACAAACAGTGTAGCTACTCACCCCGCAAGGCAATTAAACTGGCAAAACATCAGTATAGAGACAAAGTGGAGTCGCAATTCAACGGCTCACACAGGAGACGTATGTGGCAGGGTCTACAGACAATCACGGACTACAAAAAAAAAACAGCCACGTCGCCGACACCGATGTCTCGCTTCCAGACAAGCTAAACACCTACTTCACCCGCTTTGAGGATAACACAGTGCCACTGATGAGGCCCACTACCAAGGACTGTGGCCTCTCCTTCTCCATGGCTGACGTGATTAAGACATTTAAGCATGTTAAACCCCGCAAGGCTGCTGGCCCAGACGGCATCCCTAGCCGCGTCCTCAGAGCATGTGCAGACCAGGTGGTGTGTTTATGGACATATTCAATCTCTCCCTTTCCCAGTCTGCTGTTCCCACATGCTTCAAGATGGCCACCATTGTTCCTGTACCCAAGAAAGCAAAAGGTAACTGAACTAAATGACTATCGCCCTGTAGCACTCACTTCTGTCATCATGAAGTGCTTTGAGAGACAAGTATCATATCACCTCTACCTTACTGGTCACCCTTGACCCACTTCAATTTGCTTACCGCCCCAATAGATCCACAGACGATGCAATTGCCATCACACTGCCCTATCCCATCTGGACAAGAGGAATACCTATGTCAGACTGCTTTTCATTGACTATAGCTCAGCATTCAACACCATAGTACCCTCCAAGCTCATCATTAAGCTCGAGGCCCTGGGTCTGAACCCCGCCCTGTGCAACTGGGTCCTGGACTTCCTGACGGGCCGCCCCCAGGTGGTGAAGGTAGGAAACCACATCTCCACTTCGCTGATCCTCAACACTGGGGCCCCACAAGGGTGCGTGCTCAGCCCCCTCCTGTACTCCCTGTTCACCCATGACTGCGTGACCAAGCACGCCTCCAACTCAGTCATCAAGTTTGCAGATGACACAACAGTAGTAGGCTTGATTACCAACAATGATGAGACAGCCTACAGGGAGGAGGTGAGGGCTCTGTGAGTGTGGTGCCAGGAAAATAACCTCTCACTCAACATCAACAAAACAAAGGAGATGATCGTGGACTTCAGGAAACAGCAGAGGGTGCACCCCCCTATCCACATCGACGGGACCGCAGTGGAGAGGGTGGAAAGCTTCAAGTTCCATGGCGTACACATCACGACAAACTGAAATGGTCCACCCACGCAGACAGTGTGTTGAAGAAGGCGCAACAGAGCCTCTTCAACCTCAGGAGGCTGAAGAAATTCGGCTTAGCACCTAAAACCCTCACAAACTTTTACAGATGCACAATTGAGAGCATCCTGTCGGGCTGTATCACCGGCTGGTACGGCAACTGCACCGCCCACAACCGCAGGGCTCTCCAGAGGGTGGTGCGGTCTGCCGAACGAATTACCGGGGGCAAACTACCAGCCCTCCAAGACACATACAACACCCAATGTCACAGGAAGGCCAAAAAGATCATCAAGGACATCAACCACCCGAGCCACTGCCTGTTCACCCCGCTATCATCCAGAAGGCGAGGTCAGTACAGATGCATCAAAGCTGGGACCGAGAGAATGAAAAACAGCTTCTATCTCAAGGCCAACAGACTGTTAAATAGCCATCACTAGCACAGAGGCTGCTGCTGCCTATTGAAATCACTGGCCACTTTAAGAAATGGAACACTAGTCACTTTAATAATGTTTACATATCTTGCACTACTCATCTCATATGTACAGTTGAAGTCAGAAGTTTACATACACCTTAGCCAAATACATTTAAACTCTGTTTTTCACAATTCCTGACATTTAATCCTAGTAAAAATTCCCTGTCTTAGGTCAGTTAGGATCACCACTTTATTTTAAGAATGTGAAATGTCAGAATAATAGTAGAGATAATTATTTATTTCAGCTTTTATTTCTTCCATCACTTTCCCAGTGGGTCAGAAGTTTACATACACTCAATTAGTATTTGGTAGCATTGTCTTTAAATTGTTTAACTTGGGTCAAACGTTTTGGGTAGCCTTCCACAATCTTCCCACAATAAGTTGGGTGAATTTTGGCCCATTCCTCCTGACAGAGCTGGAGTAACTGAGTCAGGTTTGTAGGCCTCCTTGCTCACACACGCTTTTTCAGTTCTGCCCACAAATTTCTATAGGATTGAGGTCAGGGCTTTGTGATGGCCATTCCAATACCTTGACTTTGTTGTCCTTAAGCCATTTTGCCACAACTTTGGAAGTATGCTTGGGGTCATTGTCCATTTGGAAGACCCATTTGCGACCAAGCTTTAACTTCCTGACTGACGTCTTGAGATGTTGCTTCAATATATCCACATAATTTTCCTTCCTCATGATGCCATCTATTTTGTGAAGTGCACCAGTCCCTCCTGCAGCAAAGCACCCCCACAGCATGATGCTGCCACCCCCGTGCTTCACAGTTGGGATGGTGTTCTTCGGCTTGCAAGCGTTCCCCTTTTTCCTCCAAACATAACGATGGTCATTATGGCCAAATAGTTCTATTTTTGTTTAATCAGACCAGAGGACATTTCTCCAAAAAGTATGATCTTTGTCCCCATGTGCAGTTGCAAACCGTAGTCTGGCTTTTTTATGGCGGTTTTGTAGCAGTGGCTTCTTCCTTGCTGAGCGGCCTTTCAGGTTATGTCGATATAGGACTCGTTTTACTGTGGATATAGATAATTTTGTACATGTTTCCTCCAGCATCTTCACAAGGTCCTTTGCTGTTGTTCTGGGATTGATTTGCACTTTTCGCACCTAAGTACGTTCATCTCTAGGAGACAGAACGCGTCTCCTTCCTGAGCGGTATGACGGCTGCATGGTCCCATGTTTATACTTGTGTACTATTGTTTGTACAGATGAACGTGGTACCTTCAGGCATTTGGAAATTGCTCCCAAGGATGAACCAGACTTGTGGAGGTCTATAATAGTTTTTTCTGATTTACTTTGATTTTCCCATGAAGTCAAGCAAAGAGGCACCGAGTTTGAAGGTAGGCCTTGAAATACATCCACAGGTACACCTCCAATTGACTCAAATTATGTCAATTAGCCTATCAGAAGCTTCTAAAGCCATGAATAGAAAGCCATTTTCTGGAATTTTCCAAGCTGTTTAAAGGCACAGTCAACTTAGTGTATGTAAACTTCTGACCCACTGGAATTGTGATACAGTGAATTATAAGTGAAATAATCTGTCTGTAAACAATTGTTGGAAAAATTACTTGTGTCATGCACAAAGTAGATGTCCTAACCGACTTGCCAAAACTATAGTTTGTTAACAAGAAATTTGTGGAGTGGTTGAAAAACAAGTTTTAATGACTCCAACCTAAGTGTATGTGAACTTCCGACTTCAACTGTATATACTGCATTCTATTCTATAATATTCTACTGTATCTTAGTCCATGCCGCTCTGTCATTGCTTGTCCATATATGTATATATTCTTTAATCCCATTCCTTACTAGTTTTGTGTGTATTGGGTATATGTTGTGAAATTGTTAGATATTACTGCACTGTCGGAGCTAGAAGCACAAGCGTTTTGCTAGACCCGCTATAACATCTGCTAAACACGTGTATGTGACAAAGAAAATGTGATTTGATTTGTAGCATAGACTTCCAGTCAATGCACTAATGCTAGTTAGCATTGGCTCATGAAATGACCACGAATTTCCTTCATACTGGATGCAGAGACATAAAAATGGTATCCATGAGTTTATCTTACTCTGGGGAAGTAGATACATGGCTTCATTGCCAAAATCCCAAAGTATCCCTTTAAGTGCCATCAGACAGTATATAGGCTAATTGCATAAGTGCTGTGACTTGATCTATAGGCTATAGGTTAAGACTCTGTCTGCTGGAACACTGTCCAGGACAGCATGTGAAAACAACCCCTATTCCCTTCCTTTACTGGAGCCTGTTAGGGTCTGCAGGTCTAAAGGTACCAGGTACTGTAGGTGTATAGAAGCCAAATGGTGATGATGACTCCACCTAGGCCTCCAATGGACTAAGGGGAATTTCAATCATATTCCTTACACTCATCTAGTACCTACAGATCAGCAAACATTGAAAGGTTTGGGGTTAGGTTAAGGGATAAGGTTGGGGGTAGTGGTTGTTTTGGGACCAGGCCAGCCGTGTGACCTGTCATACGTGTCCTTGTGTGGCCTTAGAAGGATCAGACCAGTAGGCCTGACCGTTACCACTTTGCTGTACCTGGTTCTTGCGGTAGTCCTGTTGAGAGTGGCGTAACACGCGGTAACACAGGCGACAGATGTGTCTGAAGGGGGCGTGGCGCTGATCAGCCAGCTCCTCCAATCGCAGCATGGGCCCGTCCCCGCTGTCTGTGAATGGAGCCTGCAGCAGCTTGAAGATCTGGACACAAAATTACATCAGTTGGATGATGTTACATCAGGTTAAGAAAATGAATTTGTTGGAAAAATGTTTGGCGAAGTATGGCAAAGTTCATTATATAGGTTAATAGTAGACAAAGGAGCTTGCTCCAAAATGTATCCACATTGAAAATCAAGTAACTGTCCTGAGCCTTTATTCACCCCTTCAGTCTGTGGAAGTTCTAGTTGTCCCTTATGAATGACATGGTCCTCTACCTGTTTGAGGATGTTCTGTTCCCTCATGAGTTTCTGTCTCTCTCTGTTGGGCTTGTTGACCATGATCTCCAGAACATCCTGGCCATTGTTGGGGATGTCCACCACGAAGAACACCAGGTCCTCCAGAAGCTTGGTCACCGCCCTGGACGACACACAGGAACAGGAAGTCACACACAGGAAGAGGCACAACCATAGATATCCAGAGTTCGGTAAACTTTATTTGAGATTTAGAATCCTTAATGTTGATACCAAGAGTTCCAAGGACATTACATTCTGGTAAGGGTTTGGTGCCAACATTGAAGAGGTAAAGAAAACATAGAGCACCAAAATGACTGCCATGTACCTCCTCTCGTTCTGAGTGATGGTGCCCTTCTCCAGTTTGCCTGCGATGGAGGCCAACACTTTACTGGCATCGTTGGCAAAGTCCAGGTCTCTGACTTCGGCGGGCGAGACGGGTACGATGGCAAAAGCTTCTTTGTCTTCTTTCAGTGCAGACGTGCCGATCTTAAAATAACAACAGTGAAACTGATGAGTGAATTAGGATTGTAAAATTAAGTTAATTCTCATAAGTAAACTCACAAATAGAATAGTATTCAATAGTGCACCTGGTCGTCAGATCTAATGTCTATCTAATCTAATGTAAGGGTATTATTATATTATTGAGTAAGGTTTGGGTTGGACTGATTATGTGGGACACACAAAACATGATATACAGTAGTTGAAGATTGGGTTAGACAGACTATTGGTAAGGTCTCAAACTGGCTAGTCGAGCTGTCACTCACACGTAGCATGACAGGTTTCTCCTCCTCCTTGTCGATGGGGTGGTTGGTGCTGTGGACCCATGTGTTGGTGCACAGGTGTCTGAGCCTCACGTACGAGTTCCTGGGCGCGCGCACAAGCACACACACAGAGTATTGTGAATCCAGAATGAATAATAAAGTCCTTATTGGGCAAGGCCCACTCTAGCACATACTAAGCATTGCCATACCAAACAGTGGAATGGAAGAGTGCCTCTGATTAAATACTGAAATACATCTCATCTGATGCATTCCAGTAGAGGAAGGGACATCATAATAATAGTGGTTACTGTAAGCCAAACACAACATCTTACAGTATCTCACATGTATAAAACTCAACCACACACTTGAATAAGTAAGAAACAGAAACAGGGCCAGGGCCTGCAGTAAGTCAGTCTAGAGTCAGTCTAGAGTCAGTCTAGTCAGTGTGAATTATCCTTATCTTGTCCTCAATCACAGTCAACAGGTTATATCCTTCCACCTTCACAACCAGCATGCCACAGTTACACTGGTTCCTGTAAGCCAAAGCTTCCCTACTGTACATTCAGCTAGGAAGACAAAAACTAGACAGACCGACTCACACACTATTGCTTCATGACCTCATAAAAACTCCCTCACCTACTCACTCTACCATCGAGAAAACTCTCCCTACTCTCTCCAAAACACAGGCTCACACATGTCCTATGTCAACTTATACTGAAGACAGCATGACCATAACCCTGCCCACTCACCCTTTCCACTGAAAGTGAGAACAGGTGTCTTAATAGGGGGAATTCCACAATAATTCAATAAATGTGGCTGATAACAAACAAACACCACACATATGTAATCTAAAGATTATTTGTGTGTGTGTGTGTCTCTCTCTCCATTTCCAGTGGGAGGAACATGACCGGTTACTTTTCATATTGCAACATGTTCATTAGAATCTGATCTGCGTCAACAGTGGGCTACCTACTGTAGTCACTACGTTTTTTGGGGGACTTTCCAGACATACAGTCATCAGTGTAAACTGACTTGATAGCTAATCTAGCACTATCTCAATGGACAACCACCTATACCAGGGTGGGGTCAATTCCGATTTAAGTCAGACAATTCAGGAAGTGATTTGAATTTAAAATAGAACAACTTTTGAAAGAATAGTTTCTTCTTTTCAGTTTATTGAGAAGTCACTGAAAATAAAAGCACTTTTTTTTCAATTATTTAATTGGAATTTCAGTTTACTTCCTGAATTGACTGACTTTAATTCAAGTTGACCCCAACACTGACAGATACAGCCTGGTCACTCACCCCTCTCCCTGCACATGACCAGTTCCATCACACAACAATACAGGATGACATCTAAAGATGCATTTTAAATCGATACATTCTCATGGACGTAGTTAAAAGAGAAGTTACTTTCTAGAAAAAGTGCAAATTCCTATAGAAGTATTACGAGTAAGGGAGTCCTTTTGCACAATGGCCCTAGTCCTACCTGGGTACCAGGGAGTCCCCCCCTCTCAGAGTGGTAGGGTCCAGCTCAAAAATGGAGGAGATGTCGTTGCCGTCAGGGACAGACACCAGGGTGTACATGACCTTCTCCTGGGGGTTCCTGGGGCGGGCACGGAGGTCCACCTGCTCAGAGTCCAGCTGGAGACACAACATGACAACAAAACAGTCTCATCAGATCACTACAAAGACAACATGACAACAAAACAGTCTCATCAGATCACTACAAAGACAACATGACAACAAAACAGTCTCATCAGATCACTACAAAGACAACATGACAACAAAACAGTCTCATCAGATCACTACAGAGACAACATGACAACAAAACAGTCTTATCAGATCACTAGAGACAACATGACAACAAAACAGTCTCATCAGATCACTAGAGACAACATGACAACAAAACAGTCTCATCAGATCACTACAGAGACAACAAAACAGTCTCATCAGATCACTACAGAGACAACATGACAGTCTCATCAGATCACTACAGAGACAACATGACAACAAAACAGTCTCATCAGATCATTGCACAACCACATGGACATGGGGCACAGAAGACCAGGATCAATGATTATAAAGAAGAAAATGATTGATAGACTGATCAGTTTCCTGTCAAATTCCTAGACAATGACCCAAAGAGCATATCCTGGGCAGGAACGTACTGAAGAAGATAATAGACTCACAACTCAAAGGGATCTCTTCTTTCACCACAATTTGAGAGCATACATTTGATCAAATTTCATATTTTTTCAAATCTAATTTATGCCAATATATAGGCTTAATTCAATACTGCACTAGACATCATGGCCTACTTTTCCTCTGTTATCACAGTGTATTGTGAAGTTTCAATAACAGCGTTATTACACATAAATATCATAAAATATGTATACATATTAATATTTCAGTATTTAGGGTAATTCGTTAGAGTAAGTATGGGGTTAAACTGCAGCTGTCATCTTAGTTTGGGTCTTCTGCTGTGTTCACATGGTCACTATAGTGAATGATTGTCTAAAACTGTATCACCCTTTTCACTCTACGGTGCTGACCCCAACCGTACTGTTCTGGTTTGGATATTTTATTTTTATTTTTAAGATGTCCTTTCCAGCAACTATATGGTGGATGCATAACCAGAACAGCCAGTGCATTACAACTTGGCTTGGCTTGACTTAGCTCAGTAGTGCGAAAAGGGTACATGTCCATTCTCAGCGCCCTGCTCTGTTAGTTATTCAACCATGTGTTGACTAATGAGACTAGTGTGTGTCAGTGATATAGAGTCCAGGGTCTTGTAAAGAGAATTGTGTGACTGAGATCCATTCCTAGTGGTAGACTGCAACCAGCTGGCTAAAGGCTGACCAGCTCACATTAGTACCGTCAGACTTCTCTATGCAGACACCGCCATCTAATGGTATCATCGGGGAAGTGCTCTTTACTGTGACATGGGGTTCAAGCTAAGATAAACAAGTTAGAAGAGTTACAATAATCACTGTGTCCTGGGAGACACCAGTGGGATGTGACTGATTAATTTCACATTGTGTCAACAGACTTGGTTGTGACTGGAGACTTTGGATTGGTTCATTCAATGGGTCACAGGAAAACTCTGGATCACAGCACAATATCTGGGAATGACTGGTTCAGATGACCCACAGTATTCATCATCCCTCTACACCCTTCATAGTCCATTGCTACCAGAACAGGAGAATGTGACTCACTGAGGAGCGGAACTCCAGGCACTCTTCTTCATAGTCAGGGTTCACCTGGAAAACACACATACACACATACAATAAGCAAGCTAGGGCTCACTTCACAAACAGAGGTCTATCTCAAGCTACAGTAGGGCTCACTTCACAAACAGAGGTCTATCTCAATGTGACTTCCCTGGTAAAAACATTTATAATATTGTGTGTGCGTGTGGTAAAAGCAGTGTTACTGACCTCTGCAGCCAGGTAGTGTCCAGTGGCCAGGTGTTTGAACCTGAACAGACTGTTCCAGTAGCCAGCTCCGCCTCGACAAGGATCATGCTGTACCACCTGGCAAGAAGAGAAACACAGGTATCATTCACATGTCATATCACACACTGGAGTTGTGTACATGCACATTTTAACAACTTGTCAGACCATATAAATTTCAAACTAAAACTTAACTTTTAGTCTGCATAAATTGGCAGTTGTGAGGGAGAAGTCAAATTGCCATGATCTGAGGGGCTTTTCCCCCTTCTACGAATTTTATTTCTATGCACTTCCTCCTCACCTCCACCTCCCATAAGGCTTTGCTGCTAGTTGCTGAGGTAGCAGACTGGCGTCCAGTGGTGCGCAGGAAGACATATTGTTTTTTCCGGTGGTCATCACAGGTGAGGAACTTCTCCTGCTCTGCATGAAACAGGCGCACCACGTCGCCCTGGCAACAAACAGACAGGAAGGTTGTTACCATAGAGACTGCTTTGGGAAGTGTTACTGCCTTGGGATAGATTATATAGGCTACCTATAACAATTAACAGTGTTTTGTCTTCAACTGGGATACCGGGTTCGTTGACCCATTATTATCTGATTCATATTGATTGGATGCTGGTCCAAATCAAGGCAATGTGAACTGTGAAAATCAGGCCTGATTGGTTGAGAGTTTTGATAAAACCAACCCCTTTTAGAATGATCTCCTGATTGTCACCCCATTTCATGAACAGCACGATCTTCCAGCTGGTGTTACAGTTGACCGAGTTCACCTGAAACACCAAACAGACAAAAAGAGTTCCACAGGATTACCAGTTCAATCCCTTAATAAACAGCAACACATGCAACTATTATCACTGAGGGAATTTGATTATCTGGCCCGGTTACCCCGGTGGGAGGAGTTTGCACACGGTGAAAAGTGATTGCATTAGTTTTGGAACCGGGCTGCCTCCCGGGCGTGAGCCAGGTGCCCAGTTTAAAGCCGCCGGAGAAGTCGGCTCAAAACAAAAGTGACGTAGGCTAGATTAAGCATGTGGAGTAATTATTAAAATTCTGTGTTTTCACATGCAAAAGTCATTCCTTTTTATAAAAATGTTTTGTTTTGGCTTCCCAATGAAAACTAGTTTGAAAATTCAAACATACACTACCAGTCAAAAGTTTGGACACACCTACTCATTCAAGGGTTTTTCTTTATTTGTACTATTTTCTACATTGTAAAATAATAGTGAAGACATCAAAACTATGAAACAACACATATGGAATCATTAAGTAACAAAACAAGTCTTAAACAAATCAAAATATATTTTATATTTGAGATTCTTCAAAGTAGCCACCCTTTGCCTTGATGACAGCTTTGCACACTATTGGCATTCTTTCAACCAGCTTCATGAGGTAGTCACCTGGAATGCATTTCAATTAACAGGTGTGCCTTGTTAGAAGTTAACCATCAAGCGCTATGATGAAACTGGCTCTCACAAGGGCTGCCACAGGAAAGGAAGCCCCAGAGTTACCTCTGTTGCAGAAGATAAGTTAATTAGAGTTAACTGCACCTCAGATTGCAGCCCAAATAAATGCTTCAGAGTTCAAGTAACAGACATATCTCAACATCAACTGTTCAGAGGAGACTGCGTGAATCAGGCCTTCATGGTCGAATTGCTGCAAAGAAATCACTACTAAAGGACACCAATAAGAAGAAGAGACTTGCTTGGGCCAAAAAACACTAGCAATGGACATTAGACCAGTGGAAATCTGTCCTTTGGTCTGATGAGTCCAAATTTGAGATTTTTGGTTCCAACCGCCGTGTCCTTGTGAGACGCAGAGTAGGTGAACGGATGATCTCCGCATGTGTGGTTCCCACCATGAAGCATGGAGGAGGAGGTGTGATGGTGTGGGGGTGCTTTGCTGGTGACACTGTCGGTGATTTATTTAGAATTCAAGGCACAGTTAACCAGCATGGCTACCACAGCATTCTGCAGCGATACGCCATCCCATCTGGTTTGGGCTTAGTGGGACCATCGTTTGTTTTTCAACAGCACAATGACCTAAAACACACCTCCAGGCTGTGTGAGGGCTATTTTACCAAGACGGAGAGGGATGGAGTGCTGCATCAGATGATCTGGCCTCCACTATCACCCAACCTCAACCCAATTGAGATGGTTTGGGATGAGTTGGACCGCAGAGTGAAGGAAAAGCAGCCAACAAGTGCTCAGCATATTTACATTTTAGTCATTTAGCAGACGCTCTTATCCAGAGCGATTTACAGTTAGTGAGTGCATACATTATTATTATTGTTTTATTTTTTTCATACTGGAATCGAACTCACAACCCTGGCGTTGCAAACGCCATGCTCTACCAACTGAGCTACATCCCTGCCGGCCATTCACTCCCCTACCCTGGATGACGCTGGGCCAATTGTGCGCCGCCCCATGGGTCTCCCGGTCGCGGCCGGCTACGACAGAGCCTGGATTCAAACCAGGATCTCTAGTGGCACAGACCACTGCGCCACTCGGGAGCATATGTGGGCACTCCTTCAAGAGTGTTGGCAAAGCATTCCTCATGAAGCTGGTTAAGAGAATGGAAAGAGTGCGCAAAGCTGTCATCAAGGCAAAGGGTGGCTACTTTGAAGAATCTAAAATATAACATAACATTTTTTGGTTACTACATGATTCCATATGTGTTATTTCATAGTTTTGACTTTATTTCACAAAGTAAAAAATTTTAAAAATAAAGAAAAACCCTTGAATGAGTAGATGTGTCCAAACTTTTCACTGGTACTGTATATTTTATGGAAAAGAGTTGTTGTATGTTTCTGGACGATGCACCATGCTGCTTTGTTGACAACATGACCGAGCGGCACAGATTACTGTTTGATTTGAGAAGGGCACTCCTCCCTCTTCACATTATGGGCCATAGACCGGTGCACCGCGGCTCAGGTTAATAGAACTCCCTCACTGGTACTCTATAACTATAAAGCAGCACACCATTCTCACAGAATGAGCTGCAGGCTAGAGCTAAATGCAAATCCTATACATAATTTATGCAAATGTCGAGGACCATGGCACAATGCTGTAACGTTTGAAATGGTAGGAGGGGGCCAATACCAGTTCACACTCATATAAATACTGTACATACAATATCACTTCCACACAGCAATAAATAAAACACAGAGGAGAGGTGCTGCAGACAGCGTGAGGGTCTAACCTCATTACATCCTGGGTTGTCCACTAGTTGATGGGTGCTGGCATGAAGGGGCTGGCCAGCATTCACTGGGTTCAGGACCACCTTGTCCCCTATCACCACCTGGAATGAAACACACATTACAATTTAGTATGCATGCATTACACGTGTGCACGTCAGCTGCTAGGGGCAATGAAACATGAACAAAACTCATTTTAATGTGTCTGTCCACAGTCAAATACAGGATAGTATGTGAAGCTCTGAATCTCAAACTAAATCACTCATCCAGAGGGGCTATTACTTAGATGTAGTACTAGAACAACAGTCATGGCTCCACCTTAGGTCACCCTGTCCTGGGGCTCCTACTTACCTCAAGATCTTGGCAGGGAGAGCCAGGAGATTTAGGATCATGCGAACAGCTCTAGAGACCTGTCCTTAAAAGGTGGGGCTGAACTTCCTGATTCAGCCTCGGTTTCAATTCTCCTCATTAGGAAATGTGACAGGCTTGCTTTGATGTGCGTGTCCCTTGTGTGTGTGTGTGTGTGTGTGTGTGTGTGTGTGTGTTCGAACATGGGAAGCGTTTGTACTTTATCTGTCAAAACAGTACACAGTTACAGTCACTCACCCTTCTAGATAACTTGAAACAGTCTAACCAGGTCTTGTGTCTGGAAGTTGCCTAAACTAGCTAGCCAACTTATTTAGCCAATTATCTTCAGCCGGCCGGTGTGCGACCGTGGCAAAGTTGGTTTGACTTTGGATAGCCTATATGTGGAGCTAGTTAGGAACCGTCAATAAATTACAGAATGTAAATGGGACAATTTTTAGATGTTGCACATGTTTTAGTTGTCTCATTAAATGCTTTCAATATCTGTACATGAATCTCTATAATTTATAGTTGTTTTTAGGTTTTTAAGTCATTGAAATTTGGAGCTATTGACATTTTAAAATATTGTCCCATGTACATTGTGTAATTTACTGATGGTCCCGTGGGCATCAGGATCGGGTCGCGTGAAGCTGCGCTCTGAATTGATGATTACACTGTTTTTGTTGAATAATACCAATGCCACATGCTGTGTTCTACCAGAGAAGCTGTTTATTGCCTTCAGTTGCTCTTTAAAGCACAAGGCTCCAGCATGGTGCCACTATAAGCCCAGTCAGTCCAGAGATAGATCTGTTCTGGCCCTCATCACAGAGGATTAGAGGGGAAAGCCGACCCCAAAACACCTGACCTGGGCCTGACCCCTGGTCCTGTCACAGCCTAAACACTGACTTGGCCTGAGGTGATACAGCCATTTGTGCTGTTGTGGTTATAGAATGACTCCTGGCCTCTGCTGCTTTAATCCACTGAGAGAGACTACTATGCTGCACACACCGATAGCACAACTTGCTGGAACACACATGATCGACTGACGTGCGAGCTAGCTTTTACTTATCACCAAAAAGATGCTAGACGCAGTGCGGGAGAACTCACCAGAAAAGCAGAGTGGAAAATAGGCTGAAGCTAGCTAGCTCACGAAGCTTAGTTTAAATACCCAAAGATAAAACCAACACTCACCAGCAATTATTTAATATCAGCAACAAGTGTACTAGCTAGCTAGTTAGATGCAATATTTAGTGCTTTTAGCCAGTTAGCCAGTTACCTAGCTAGCAACGATAGCTAGCTAGCTAAATTTAGCTAGCCTAAATCACTAGCTAACTTGCAAGCTAGCTAACTGGCAAGCTAGCTAACTGGCAAGCTAGCTAACTGGCAAGCTAGCTAACTGGTAAACACATTTGTAAATATAGCTACTTAAGCTACAAAATGAATATCTAGTTAGTTGTTTGTATCATTCAGAAAACATGTATATTTATTTAATTACTAGCAAAGTAAAAAGTGTGGTGTTTTCCGGCACATACACAGCCGTCATATTGGTCAGAAAACCTGTTTCTCCTGCCTTTATTTGATTCCACAGTTTTGATCGGTTGACTGACCCCAAACTAACATACACTTCATGACCACTTGTCGAACATCTCATTACAAAATCATGGGCTTTAATATGGAGTTGGTCCCCCCGTTGCTGCTTTAACAGCCTCCACTCTTCTGGGAAGGCTTTCCACTAGATGTTGGAACATTGCTGCGGGGACTTGCTTCCATTTAGCCACAAGCACATTAGTGAGGTCGGGCACTGATGTTGGACGCTTAGGCCTGGCTCACAGTCGGCGTTTCAATTCATCCCAAAGGTGTTCGATGGGGTTGAGGTGAGGGTTCTGTGCAGGACTGGCAAGTGCTTCCACACCGATCTCGACAAACCATTTCTGTATGGACCTCGCATTGTGCATGGGGGCATTGTCATGCTGAAACAGGAAAGGGCCTTCCCCAAACTGTTGCCACAAATTTGGAAGCACAGAATCGTCTAGAATGTCATTGTATGCTGTAGCGTTAAGATTTCCCTTCACTGGAACTAAGGGGCCTAGCCCGAACCATGAAAAACAGCCCCAGACCATTATTCCTCCTCCACCAAACTTTACAGTTGGCACTATGCGTTTGGGCAGGTAGCGTTCTCCTGGCATCTGCCAAACCCAGATTCGTCCGTCGGACTGCCAGACGGTGAAGTGTGATTCATCACTCCAGAGAACGTGTTTCCACTGCTCCAGAGTCCAACGGCAGCGAGCTTTACACCACTCCAGCCGACGCTTGACATTGCGCATGGTGATCTTAGGCTTGTGCGCGGCTGCTCGGCCATGGAAACCCATTTCATGAAGCTCCCGATGAACAGTTATTGTGCTGACGTTGCTTCCAGAGGAAGTTTGGAACTCGGCAGTGAGTGTTGCAACCGAGGACAGAACATTTTTACACGCTACACGCTTCAGCACTCGGCGGTCCCGTTCTGTGAGCTTTTGTGGCCTTCCACTTCGCGGATAAGCCGTTGTTGCTCCTAGACGTTTCCACTTCACAATAACAGCACTTACAGTTAACTTGGGCAGCTCTAGCAGGGCAGAAATTTGACGAACCGACTTGTTGGAAAGGTGGCATCCTATGACGTTGTCACATTGAAAGTCACTTCAGTAAGGCCATTCTACTGCCAATGTTTGTCTATGGAGATTGCATGGCTGTGTGCTCGATGTTATACACCTGTCAGCAACAGGTGTGTCTGAAATAGCCGAATCTACTAATTTGAAGGGGTGTCCAAATACTTTTGTATATATAGTGTAGATGTGCTGCGCCACTCCGCAAACGTTTTACCATAGGGTTTTGCAAGCTGCGGGGGTTTTGGCAAGTAGGAAGGTATATCTGTGAGCATATTAGATTGCCTTACACATTTCAATCACTCAGTCTGACTGATTGTTCATGTTTCCAGTAGCTGTGATTCAAGCGATCCTATATAGTATGCATGATCATTGCCATAGGTGTAACTCACACAGTCTCCTGTGAAGGTATACATGCGGTAAAGAAGTAAATCGAACTCAACCAAAACAATGGAAATGCCATGGAAACACGTGGGGGAAAGATCCTGAGTCTCCTCATTGCCCCCCAGTAATATGGGCCTACATTTAGGCTATTATTTATTTGTGTATTTCACACTATGTTGAGGAAGAATCTGAGTATAAGGCTTGTATGGATGTCAACCCCAATACATGTTCATGTCATCATCACCAATCATCTGCATTACAGTTAAAAATGACTGACTACCTCCACCGATTTCTTTATAAAAATGTATGCACACATGACTGTAAGTCGCTTTAGATAAAAGCGTCTGCTAAATGGCATATTATTATTATTTATGCTAGCTATTCAATCAGTTTATAAGAACGGGACTTAGCATTTAGCAGTCACTTCTAAACCTGAAAAGGGAAAACTTCTAAATGTTATGCAGCGAAAACAGACAAATAAATCAAAATTGGACTTTAGTATCTACATTTGTGGGCCTGTTACAATACATAAATCATGACTGATTTGACAAATATCCTCTTTGTTAGATCAGATTTGTTGAATGTGCCCCAATCCGGCGTCCTCCTTCCATCCCCCACTTCTGCGTTCCATTGACCTCTTTACAGCATCTATGGTGCGAAGCTTGGAGAACCATATAGATATAACTCACAGTCTCCTATGGAGTGCAGCTTGGAGAACCATGTAGATATAACTCACACGGTCTCCTATGGTGCGAAGCTTGGAGAACCATATAGATATAACTCACAGTCTCCTATGGTGCGAAGCTTGGAGAACCATATAGATATAACTCACAGTCTCATGTGGAGCGCAGCTTGGAGAACCATATAGATATAACTCACACAGTCTCCTGTGGAGCGCAGCTTGGAGAACCATATACATAGAACTCACACTGTCTCCTATGGAGCGCAACTTGTAGAAGGGTTGAATGTAGAACCAGGATCCTTCGTTCCCAGCCGTGTCCAGCATCACTCTCATGGCATTCTTCTCCAGCAGCGCAGGTAGACGCTTGTTCACAGTCAGGTACTTGTTACTCTTCAGATGGAGGAGCTGGGGGAATACAGCAAACATATGGGATGATACAATATGATGCGATACAATCTTATAAGATACGATACAATAACTCAGCTGTCTGTCATTTGTGTGATACAAACATACTGAAAAGTTTTGCTTGTGCACTTCATCTTCTTCATAGGGTTTATTATTGTGTTATTATTGTGCATTTCTCTGCCCTTATGGGTATGCAGTACGTTTTAGTCTCCACATAAACAGAGCAGACTTTAACTGAAAGGTTATGACTTAGAAAAGAATAAGCTCAATTCTGAAGCTAGAAAAACACTATCTAGATCCTCCCACATCACTGTTCTATTTATAAACAAACAGAATCCGCATGGATGCCTCCAGGGCTCTCAATCTCTCCAAGTTTGGAACCAGCAAAATATATTGGATGGGAAGCCTCGTAAACTGTGTGACGCTAAAACCCAATAGAAATATGTGGGGTATGAGACTCATTATGGCATAGATTGGCTTCATTGATGAAATAACTTTTAGCTGTGGATACAAGCCAATCATTGTTCTTCTAGACAATGAATATGTATACACCCACACACCTGAATGACGTTCCCATACTGAATCACCGTTCCGAGCAACTTTTTATTTTCCGAATCGTTTTGCTTCTTTTCCAAATCCGCTGCATGCTACACAAGTGAGGGAAAGAGGAGTGAGTTAGAGACCATTACTATTGCTACGAGCAACATTGCTACTGCTTTTGCACAAATGTATCCACAAATAATTATCCACATGGACTTGAGTAGGAGGGACTACTTTCTATGACAGAAATCTCTGAATGTAGCAACGGCAAGTGCAGTTAACAGCAAACACGCCTGCAAGCTTCAACTGAAGGGCTAGAACCTAAAACTGGCCTCATCACCATGGTAACACAGGATAGATCTGAATCTATCATTTTATGACTCTGTAGTCAGATACCAGAAGGCTTTAAATGGTATTGTATCAGAACAGGGCGGGAGTGAGAGAAGGGGAGAAAGAATAAGGGAGAGAGCTGAGAGAGAGAGAGAGAGAAAGAAGAAAGGTGGGACGGTGGTAGCACTGAAACTACAGTATGCTTCAGAAATGTCTATAAAAGGACCTGAACATTACCTCTACCTCAGCAAATATATAATCCCCCTAAGAACACCCTCAAACTAGTGTGGGGACAGAAAACCTAACCCCTTTAAGAGAGCTCCTCAAACCATACATGTTGTTAAAGGGAACTGCAGGATGTAGTATTTCACACTTGAACAAGTGATTACAACAGTCAAGGAAAAAAACATGAGTGTAAGTGCTTTACTAATGTAGTTGTATTGGATTTTAGAAGTAGTGCTAGTTTAGTTATCTAAGAGGGCTCATCTATTGTATCTCTTCAGATGTGGATGAGCTCGTACCTCGGATCATTATACCACTGATTAATTTATATAATAAATCATTTAATACAGTAATATCATGGTAAGACAGTTGTAGAGATGGGTGAGGGTGGGGGAGTCACTCACGTGTAGTTTGTTGAGGAGGACTGTGTCTGTGGTGCTGTTTCCTCCGGGCTTGGCTGCCTTCCAGAACTGTTTCTGAGCAGAGTACCGGTTCATAGGACACAACCTGAACAGACAATCTGGACAGAGAGACAGTAAGACGATGAATAACAGTTAAAGAGGTGAAGGATGGTTAAGATTGAGGTGTTGTCAATGCATCTATATTGAAGTTGCTGAAACAATAACTTAGGACAACCTTCAATTGATCAGTGTAAATAAATTCACAGTGCTTAGTGACATGCTCATTGAAGCACACATAATTGCATCATCCTTCTCCCAGGGGTACATGCTAAAACACACGTGTGTGCACACGCACGCACACACTTACAGATGGTTTGCATCAGGTTCATATCCAGATAAGTAAGTCTCATGAGCTCAGATGAAAGAGGGGAGGACGTGACATGAGACAGGCCACTGGGGGAACATTAGTGAGGGGGGAAAGGGGATAGGGAAATCAGAATGTAACAGAGTGTGTGTAAGTGTCTGTCTGTCTGTGAGACAATTTCTACAGAAAAGCCAGGGGTATGATTGTATACAGTGGGTACTGTACAGTACCGTAGCACTGTTAAAAAGTATATGTTGATTCAACGTACAATTGTAAGGCAACCAGTCTTAATACGATTGTGAGTTTCTTCAGCAAACTCAAAACAACAAGTTTGTGTTAAAATGTTGAGCAAACTCAACCCTATTGCAGCTGGCTGCCTTACAATTATACATTGAATCAACATCTTATTTTTTTAAATATATATTTTTCAGTATGTTGAGATATGACAGGCTGAGATATATGACAGTCACTGTACATAATGCCATACAACAGACCAGTCCTGATAGTATTGTGATTCTACCAGTCATTTTCATAGCCACAATAGGAAGCAGACTGAGAAACAGCTCCTCAGATTTGCATGTGTCTCAGTTAACCCAACCGAGCAGAGTTTCACTTCTGGCATATCTAACATACGAGTTGTTCACACATACTGTACTGTTGCAGTGACAAAAGGCTCCACTGATGAGACCAACACACACAAGTACTTAGTATGTCAATCATTTTGGCTAGAGAGGGATATTATAACCAGCCCATTAAAATGCCTTGCATACTGGAGATGGTCAGTGCCAAAATCACACTTCATATGTGTATATAGAATGAAAACCCCAAACACGTTCATTAAATTGATCTAGCAGCTGAATAGTTCATATGGAGACTACATAAGTGTTGCAAAGTAGATCTCTCTCTCTCCCTCTCCCTCTCTCCAGTCGTAGCAGCAGCAAAGTGACCAAATAAGGCTAGCCAGAGCAGTGGAGTGGGAAGAGAAAGAGAGAGGAGTGGACTCCATCAACTCCCCTCTCAATCATCCCTCCCTCCCTCCAAGCTCTCCTCAAGCTAACAGCTGTTTCTGCCCCCTTTTCTCTAGGATATGGTTTACACCATACAGTCCAAAACAGGTTCAGACAAACAAATAAGAGAAAGTGGTGTCGGGAGAGAAAGAGAGCGAGAAAGAGGAAAGTGAAGATGGAGGGAGGAGCTCTGATCTATTCCCTTAGAGCGCAATGCTCTGGACAGAGCGGCCCTTTGAAGTGTGTGTAGCTTGTGTGTGTGCGCGTGCACATGGGTGTGTGTCCAAAACAGATGTTCCGTCTCTATCGATGGGGCTGATAAAACACATCCACCAGAATCAGATCAAACTAGGGGTCGAAATGGAGTGAAATGGCAGAGGAATGCAGGATACCACAGGGCAGTCGGACCGACTGAGAAATACATCTCAACTACCACAAAACAAGTAGCTAATTCCCTCCCTCCTCCTCCTCTGTCAGCCAGCTGTGGGAGACATCAGGGAATTCTGTGGACGCTTCTTCTCAGAATTCCCATTCGGACTCCGGGAAAAGGGGCGGGGAGATCGCTCTGAGGGCGACCTGGTAAACTGCGGCAGTTAATGATTCGAAACGTTGTTGACATTCCTGGTTTTAGCTGGCTGGTATTAGCAGAATATACTGTCTACGCATCACAGAACAGGACTATGACCCACTGATTGTCAACTCATGAGCTCACAGTCATGGACTCCTAATGGAGACCAAAGTGGAGCTAGCTAAACCACAAGACAATATGGCAAGCAAGCACAGCCCTTGAGAGTACAGAATAATTCAGAGATTGGACGCCCCCACTAAGTAGCTTAGTATTTCCCCAAGATTTCCCCCCCTTGGCGAGGCACAAAGGACCCTGAAGCAACATTCAGGGCGGCAAACATCAAAACATTCAAATTAAACTAATAAAGGCCACAAAACAACAGAGCTCAGACGTGCTGCCTCTGTCTTGAAAGCTGAAAGGAAAAACAGCGACACACACTGTGTCCTCAGAACATGGCCTTACACAAACACAGAGAGACAGAGACCCAGAAACAACAGCGACACACACTGTGTCCTCAGAACATGGCCTTACACAAACACAGAGAGACAGAGACCCAGAAACAGCGACACACACTGTGTCCTCAGAACATGGCCTTACACAAACACAGAGAGACAGAGACCCAGAAACAACAGCGACACACACTGTGTCCTCAGAACATGGCCTTACACAAACACAGAGAGACAGAGACCCAGAAAGATAGAGCGACCGAAAGAGAGAGCAACAGAGAGAGCAACAGAGAGAGCGAGAGCTATCAAAGGCCTGCCGCCAGGAATAGGGAGGCCTGTCTGGCCTGGTGGAGAGACTCAATAGCCAGAACCATCTCTAATCCAGACAACCTCAGAGGTCTGGGTCTATCCTCTGTTCTTATCCTGTTTCACAGTTTATAGAGGAAGCAACCTCTCAGCTTTATTGCATGTCCCAGACAATGGCGGAGTCTCGATGCTCTTCAACAGCTTCCTTCCCTTGCCTAACCTCTCCTTTACCTCATTGACAGGTAAGATCAATATGCTGAAGACATATCCACACCACACCTGGTAGCTAGGCCTTGTATTTTCAACATCTGGTTTGAGCCTGTGAAGTATAGAGCTGTTTAATGACCCAGTACACATCCATCTACGCAACTTTAGCTGTGACCACGAAGAAAGCAGGATGAAGGGAGGATAAAGGGAGGAGCAAAACAAACAGATGACAAAACCAGCCTCTGTCCAAAACCATAACAGAATGCTCTCACATTCTGTTATTCACCAACAAAATAGCTTCTATAAAACACACAAAGAGAAGGTTCTGTTCCTTCTCAGGTGGAACAAAAACATTCCAATCTTGTTCACTGTCAATTATCTTAGAAACAGAGTTTGTCCTGACTTCTTCGAGGACGGTTACTCCTGAGGAGACGGTAATGAGAAGGTTTTGAGAGAGATCATTGTGGAACGGAGCTAGCTTTATATATGCAACAAAGGTGGACATTATAACTGTGTTCACGAGAGGAATGGATGAGAAATCTCAAGCAACAACTACAACTTTTCAGAACATTCATAACTGCTACAGAAAGATCTACACAGCACAGACCATTCACTGAGCAGAGGTCCTATGTGCTTAAGGGAAAACTGAACAAGGTGAGATGATGAAAACAATGGGTCACTAGGTTTGTCACATGATGAAATGTAGATTAGTCTGCAACTTAAACACAATAAAGATGTGTCTGTCAACACAACAACTCCACACCATATTTGTTCATAAACACACAATCCTGCAATCACGCCTGGTGATTCCACAGTTATGGAACTGAAGGAATATGAGTTCTAATATGGTCACGTTGAGCAGCAGTTGTCCAACCATTTCAGCACCAGAATGTATATGGTTGGATGATGGAGGTGAGAATGTTGACATGAGCCTTTATTTATGTGAACCCCAGCCTTTGCTGAGATGTAGCGACATGGACAGATGTGCAGTGCCTTCATAAAGTATGCCTTCACACACCTTGACTTTTCTATATTTTCTTGTGTTACAAAGTGCAATTAAAATAGATTTGTCATTTTTTGTCAACGATCTACACAAAATACTCTTTATTGTCAAAGTGGAATAAAATAAAATAAAAACTTGATTAATTAAAAATAAAACGCTAATATATTTTGATTAGATAAGTATTTAAACCCGAGTCACTACATGTTAGAATCACCTTTGGAAGCGATTACAGCTGAGTCTCTCTGGGTAAGTCTCTTCAGAGATTTGCAAACCTGGATTGCACAATATTTGGCCATTATTCTTTTTTAAATTCTTCAAGCTCTGTCAAGTTGGTTGTTGATCATTGTTAGACAGCCATTTTCATGTCTTGCCATAGACTTCTAAGACGATTTAAGTCAAAACTGTAACTAGGCCACTCTTGGTAAGTACCTCCAGTTACCTTGCATTTTAGTTTTTTGTCCTGAAGAAAGGTGGATGTGTCTCCCAGTGTCTGATGGAAAGCAGACTGAACCATGGTTTCCTCTAGGACCTTGCCTGTGCTTAGCTCTATTCCTTTTCTTTTTATCCTAAAAAACTACTTAGTCCTTGCTTATGACAAGCACACCCATAACATGATGCAGCCAGCACCATGCTTGAAAATATGAAGAGTGGTACTCCGTGATGTGTTGGGTTGGATTTGCCCCAAACATAACGCTTTGTATTCGGGACAAAAAGTTAATTTATTTGCCACATTTTTTGCAGTATTACTTTAAGGCCTTATTGCAAACAGGATGCAAGTTTTCACTCTGTCATTTAGGTTAGTATTGTGGAGTAACTATAATGTTGTTGATCCATCCACAGTTTTCTCCTATCACAGCCATTTAACTCCGTAACTGGTTATAAAATTATCATTGGCCTCTGGTGAAATCCCTGAGTGGTTTCACTCTTCTCCATCAACTGAGTTAGGAAGGACGCCTGTATCTTTGTAGTGTCTGGGTGTATTAATACAGCATCCAAAGTGTAATTACTAACTTCCCCATGCTCAAAAGGGATATTCAATGTCTGCTTTTTTATTTTTACCCATCTACCAATAGGTGTCCTTCTTTGCGAGGTATTGGAAAACCTTCCTGGTCCATTTTAAATTTGGCCTGTAACACAACGAAATGTGGAAATCGCAGAGCAAAGACGTTTAGGGACCGGGGAGAAAATGCGATAACAAGAAAATAAAAAAAAGGGGAATGATTTTCGGTGCAAAATGTCCAAATTACATCAGTTTGACCGGTTGTAAGGAAATATACTGTAAAAAATATATAAACATATAAAGTGTTGGTCCCATGTTTCATGAGCTAAAATAAAAGATCCCAGAAATGTTCCATATGCACAAAAAGCTTATTTCTCTCAAATTTTGTGCACAAATTTGTTGACATCCCTGTTAGTGAGCATTTCTCCTTTGCCAAGATAATCCATCCACCTGACATGTGAGGCATATCAAGAAGCTGATTAAACAGCTTCCTCTCATCACCATATTTGATAGCGAGTGGAAACGCCAACCAGGATGCTTCACATTTAAACATCCAGTGAAATATCGGGCTTATTGTTCTAGGTGGCCACAAAATGAAGAAATTATTAAACTGATGTTGGACAATCAAATTCGATATGTAAATAAACAACATTTGTTAAGGCTGGTTCATTGAGAGAAAGCTTATTTTACAATGCTCCTGTGAAATGTGGCCCGCGCCATACATTTATGAAAGCACTTGTTTCCAAAGCTCAAATTATATCAGACTCTTTTTACAGTTCTAATGGATGATGTTAATAAATGTAATGTTTATTGTAAATTGAACTATCGTGGGGTCGTGACTTGTGTCTTGTGTGATAGGCAGTTGGCTGCCTAGTGATTGCAACATTGTAACTCTCCGATGTGAATAGTTGGCAATGATGTCTCGTTTCCAAGTGCTACTGAATAAGCGCAACTGAAATGCATCCATTGCGAATGACACACATCGTTACTCTAGTCTATCAATCCATTCCAAATCTTTATACTATACATGACACAGGGGCGGCATAGAATGAATCTAGCCTAGGGCGGCAGCAGAACTGCTAGGAGCGGGCCTGACAGACACAATCATTTGCCTCCAATTTACTTGCATGTGCGGTGGACCTTGGCCTGCTCAAAGTGAGCCGGTGCTGTTGGGAAGTCAAAACTGTCCAACTCCTTGGAGCAGCTTGCTATGCGCATCAGCCTCGTTACTTTGTTCTCGAGGCCATCTTTACTCTGTTTTGGAGAAAGAATCCCCTCTCGGCTGGCACACTGGAAACGGGGATAATCACATAATCTTCGCCAATGTTGCCCTTATGAGGACCTTGTGTCTTTTGTGTGAGTAAAAATAGAAACACACCCGACACTAATTTCCAAACAGCTTGAGGATTTATTAGCCTATGAAGTATATTTGCCTTTGAAGTTGGAGCTCATCGACTTGTATTTCCATCAATTAATAAAAACATTATTTTGCAATGGATGTTCGTTTTTTTTGGGACAATTTGGCCAGCCACTATTTTATCAGCTTTTCATAACGGAAACCCTTCTGTCTACCGGTGTCACCCTGCCTTCCACTAGCTACTCCGTACACAACAGGCGGGAGCGACACTGTGTGCTAACTCGCTGGAGCGCCCCTGTCTACGTACTGGAGTTATAGCTTAAAAATGGACCAATAAGTATAAAGAGGGGTTGCTGCAGATGCAGGAATGCCCACATGCAGGAACACCCCGAATTGCAGGCCGCAGTTGCACCCTTCTCACTTTTTCTGCCCGTTCCCAAAAGCACTTGGTGTGTAAGCTATTTGGCGCACGTACAATTAGGCTCTAAAGCTTATAGGCTTACGAACTAATGCCAGATGGTCCAAAATAATGAAAGATAAACCTCAATTTAGCCTATAGATATAAATTGCACAAGAATTATACATTTAAGAATTTTTGAAGGTAATGTTTTCTCTTTATTCAACCCTACTAGGATGTCCAAATGTCCTGGATTGTGTGGGACAGTCCTGCATTTTGTCCCTTTGTCCCGCATTTCACAAATTCAAACACCAATAATAAAAAAGAAAAGTTGATTTGTCCCATATTTCAGTCAGACATTCCGACCGGTCTCTTGCAGTCACGTTGCACTTATGAAAAAATATATACAGCTCTGGAAAAAATTAAGAGACCACTGCAAATGTTTCTTTAATCAGCATCTCTACATGTATGACAGCCATTCCATTCCAGTGTCTGTTGAATTCCAACACAGGCACACCTCATTCTACTGAATTAGGTGATCACCTGAATCAAATCTTATTTAACAAGGGAAAGTATAAAAACCACTGCTGTGGTCATCACTATCATCTTGCAATAGGACCAGCTGGATGGCAAAAACAGTGCTAATAGTACCTCAAAAGTAATATTAATCAAAAAATAACTATTGACCATGCCAAAAGAGTTGAAAAGGAAAGTTTTGAGTGAGGAAAAGAAGGGTTCAATTCTGGCTTTACTGGCAGAGGGATACAGTGAGCGTCAGGTTGCTTCCATCCTTAGAATTTCAAAGACGGCGGTTCATAAGAACAAGGTCAAGCAGCAGACATTGGGGACAACAAAGCTACAGACCGGCAGAGGGCGAAAATGACTCTCTACTGACCGGGATGACCGCCAACTCATTCGAATGTCACTCAACAACCGTAGGATGACATCAAGTGACCTACAAAAAGAATGGCAAACGGAAGCTGGGGTGAAGTGCACGGCGAGGACGGTTTGAAACAGGCTCCTAGGGGCAGGGCTGAAGTCGTGCAAAGCTAGAAAAAAGCCCTTCATCAATGAGAAGCAAAGAAAAGCCAGGCTGAGGTTTGCAAAAGACCATAACGATTGGACCGTAGAGGACTGGAGTAAGGTCATCTTCTCTGATGAGTCCAATTTTCAGCTTTGCCCAACACCTGGTCGTCTAATGGTTAGACGGAGACCTTGAGAGGCCTACAAGCCACAGTGTCTCGCACCCACTGTGAAATTTGGTGGAGGATCGGTGATGATCTGGGGGTGCTTCAGCAAGGCTGGAATCGGGCAGATTTGTCTTTGTGAAGGACGCATGAATCAAGCCACATACAAGGTTGTCCTGGAAGAAAACTTGCTTCCTTTTGCTCTGACATTGTTCCCCAACTCTGAGGATTGGTTTTTCCAGCAGGACAATGTACCATGCCACACAGCCAGGTCAATCAAGGTGTGGATGGAGGACCACCAGATCAAGACCCTGTCATGGCCAGCCCAATCTCCAGACCTGAACCCCATTGAAAACTTCTGGAATGTGATCAAGAGGAAGATGGATGGTCACAAGCCATCAAACAAAGCCGAGCTGCTTGAATATTTTGCGCCAGGAGTGGCATAAAGTCACCCAACATCAATGTGAAAGACTGGTGGTGAGCATGCCAAGACGCATTAAAGCTGTGATTGAAAATCAGGTTTATTCCACCAAATATTGATTTCTGAACTCTTCCTAAGTTAAAACATTAGTATTGTGTTGTTTAAAAATGAACATGAACTTATTTTCTTTGCATTATTCGAGGTCTGACAACACTGCATCTTTTTTTGTTATTTTGACCAGTTGTCATTTTCTGCAAATAAATGCTCTAAATGACAATATCTTTATTTGGAAGAAATGTTAGTAGTTTGTAGAATAAAACAAAAAATGTAATTTCACCCAAACACATACCTATAAATAGTCAAACCAAAGAAACGTATATTTTTGCAGTGGTCTCTTAATTTTTTCCAGAGCTGTATATATTAAGGGTGTGGTAGCTTAAATGTTTGTATGCCTGCAAAATTGTGTGTGCGTGCCTGTAAAGTGGGGTGTGTCTGCTTACATTGGGAGGAAA